AGATTAGATGGCCAGAAAGAATCACAAACAAGAAGCTATGGGAACAAACGAAACAGGAACCAATCGCCCAACAAATATGCAGGAGGAAGTGGAGATGGATTGGACACTCGCTGAGAAGGCCGTTGAGTGACATCGCGCGTCAAGCCCTCGAGTGGAACCCGAAAGGGAAGCGGCGAGTGGGACGTCCAAGGGTGACATGGAGGAGATCGTGTGAGGAGGAGATGAAACAGTATGGAATAACATGGACGCAAGTGAAAAGAACAGCAGAAGACAGAAGCAAGTGGAGACGTGCAGTTGAAGCCCTATGTTCCACTAGGAACCCAAGGGAACAATAATAATATAATAATAAGATAATCTTAAATTATTAGTACGTATATCCAGATTACCTGCTGATTCGAAGAAAAGCTGGCTACCTTGTCGCGTTACCAAAGAAGGGCAACCTACGCCTCTGTCTGCAAGAACTGGAGTGGAATAATGCTATTGTCGGTCCACACCAAGTAAAATACTAAATCATGTCATTCACTGGATGCAGACCTGCACCAGACCCATAGGAACAAGCTTGATTCAGGAAATGCAAATCAGCTGCATTGTCATCACAGAACAAAGCATAGACTGACAGTCAACTCTGCCTCTACCTCAACTTTATTGACTTCGAGAAAACCTTCGACAGTGCAGCGTTGACTGAGAAGTAATTTGGAAACTGCTTGAACAGTACGGTGTGTAGTGCTTAAGTTTTTAACAACCTCATTCAACAATTGGCTATATGGCAATGTCATGGGTCAAGTGATTCAAAACGGAAAACTCAGTGAGGCGTTCGAATTGAATACAGGAGTGAGACAAGGCTGTCGACTATTATCGCCGATGATATTCTTAATTGTGGTGTACCGGATTATGTGCCAGACTGTGGGAAGCGAGGAGACAGGAGTGCACTGGACGACAGGTAAGAGGACCTTAGGAGATCTGAACTTTGCGCGTGGACGATTTATGTCTGATGTCACAGAGACTCGGCGACTTGCAAACGAAAACCAACAAACTGGTTTTTGACGCTGGGAGATGGGACTGCAGGTGAACATAGAGAAGACAGAGGTGATGAAGATAACTAACCAACACCTAAAGCAACAACAACCAGTACTAATCACCATCAACGGGAGAGATTTGATAGAGGTTACTTCCTTCATTTACTGGAGAGGGAGCACGGTTTTAACCAGAGACAGGCGGAAAGAATGAAGATGTGAAAGCCAGCCAACCAGAATCTTAAGGGCAAGATACGCCTTCGCCAATCTGAAATCAGTTTGCAAATCTCTTGCTTCACTCACTCACCCTTTATTTACTCTTGCCACCTATTACATAATTAATTTTTTGGAGATATGTCTCCATTATCATCCTATTTCATATTACGCAACCCTTGTCGGTACTTACCAGTCTCTTCATCACTCTAGTTGCGATTTGATTATTCATCATATTTAAGAAACATTTTAATGACGTAAACAGTAACCCTAACTCATTTTTATTTTGCTTGACAATTCTAATGTACACACGCACAATGATTATATATAAATGAGATTGTACAGCTAAGTGAATGAAATCGCTATCGAAAAGAGACTTTTCGCCGAACTTTGTTGTTCTTACAAAATAAATGTCTTCAGAAAGCCGAAACATTTGGACAGACAACTAGACTAAAATTCAGCACATCCCTTTACCACTGAAGTAACTGTGGCCAAGAATCTGATTAACATAGCCGAAGTTTAGTTACTGAGGAGGAGAAGGAGATCAGCAGGGAAATAAAATTGGTTCAGTCTTTTCTTGAATTAAATAATTATCCTAATAATAATAATTTGCTTTATTCCAAAACAGTACGTGTGATACAGAATAGAATTCTCAACACTTTACTACAGTATTGCATCCAGTTAGTACATTAACAATAAATAAAATTTCACATAGATTAAGGAAATCTCAGTTCATTATGACAACAACATATTAGCATGTCGGTAGCAGAGCCAAAATTGAACAGAGTGTTTGAAGGTTTTAGAAAAGTAGATGCTAGCATATTTACTGGCGTAAGCGGTAACAAAAAGGTCGAGATATACAGAGTGTGAAAGAACGAAGAAGAATGTTTTAAATATGGTTTGTAAGGGAGAGAGAAACAAAGCAGCACATTACAGAAAAAAAAAAGATAAAAGGAAAGAAAGAAAGAAAACGTTGTACCTATAAATGATATGAGTTAGAAAGACGAGATCCAGTCGTTCTACTGACTATTTAATGAATTATAAGTCTCACGCCTAATGCTTTCTTTATCGCACAGAACACGAGCCAAGTAGGGTATGGTTGAATTTTTGTACTTGCTAGTGCGAGCATATAGTTTTCTAAATAGGCTTCTGGTCCTGACTGATGAGATACAAGAGGAGAATTGTGAATGAAGAGGGTGGTGTGAGTTAGATAAAATGGATTTAGCCCCAAAGCTTTTATAAAAGGATATTTAAAAGGTGAAGAAGAGGATGAATGAAAACCTGTCGCTTTGACTTGGATTAATACGGTGGTGATTCCTTACCGCAAAGAAACATCGAATGAGATAAAGCGAATCCATAACAATCATAGCATAAGAGTGTATTTTCGCGTAACGGACACCCTACACTCATCACTGGTGAAGGTTGAGGATAAAATACAAAAAGATAACCGACACGATTGTGCGTATCACATCAACTGTGTGGTTTTTGACGCCGTATATGTAGGAGAAACTTCCAGACAGATAAATATAAGAGTGAAAGAGCATGAACAATGTCTAAAGTTGGTTCCAAAGAACTCTATAAATCTCTGCAGACTTGAAGAAGCTAGAAAACAGATCAGCGATTGCACTGCATTCGATAGAAACGGACACAAGATCGACTTTCATAGGACTAAGGTTTGACACTAAGGTTTTGGTTCGTATAAAGAAAGACTGACTGTGGAAGCCCTACATATATGGGTGAATCCCAAAATTTAAAACAGACATGGAGGTGTGATGTTAGCTAATGCATAGCAAGTCCTGATCAATAAATAAAAAATGGATATGTATCACTAATCAGTCATACTTGATCTAAACTCTTGATTGTCTACATCTTCTAATGGAGAGGCTAACAAATGATTTACAATTGTTCCCCCATGCAAACATACACATCATTGTGTATTTTTTCATATTCGGTTATCTACGACCATGAACTTTTAGTTGAACGTAATCTGATAAAAAGTACACTCTGTTTAAAGTGTTTAACAAAAGTAGACTAATATTTGTAAGTCTGAGGTAAAATTTTGATCACAGTTCATGCAATTTAGATGTCTGTTTCATGACTCAACAAAGTTTTCAGAAGTAAGAGATATCCTTTTTATATAAACCTTCGTTATTTTAATTTCGATTAATTTCTCTGAAGAAGTTCAGACCAGTTTACCGAACACAGGAAACGTTGGAACTGCTCATTTCAATTTCGCTGAAATTTTACAAATGTGTCTACTTCTTACTCGGCATTCAATTATTTCGGAACTGTTCTGTCAAATCTTGATCACAGTTCATAAAAGGAACAAGCAGTACTGAATAGCTGCTTCAGCTTAGTTCGGAGCTCTTCAGCACTGCTCATTTGTAATGTTACCGCCACGAATCGAACCCAGGAACTTCAGATTACCAAGCCAAGTCTTTGAGTATTCAGCTACTGCAACGACATCTAATGGCCATATTAGTACAGAAAACATATCACTGTTAACCGTAAAGTCATGATTGATACAATCCAATCAGATACTAATTATTTAAGGCCTAATTATCAGTGGATCAAACAAACTACAGACCTTCATCAACAGCCGTCTTCGCTCAATACTCAAGATCAGATGGCCGGTCAGAAAAGATCACCAACAGGGATCTCTGGAGACGAACAAACCAGGAACCGATTGTGCAACAAATAAGCAGGAAGAAATGGAGGTGGATTGGATTGGCCATACTCTGAGGAAACGATCAAGTGACATCACTACACAAGCCCTCGAGTGGAACCCGAAAGGGAAGAGGCGAGTTGGTCGTCAGTGCAAGGGTGACTTGGAGGAGGTCATATGAAGAGGAGATGAAAACGTGTGGGCAGACCTGGAGCCAGGTGAAGACTGTAGCAGAGAACCGAACGCCATGGAGACGCACGGCTGAAGCCCTACGTTCCTCTAAGAATTAAAGGAAACAATAATAATAATAATTATTATCAGTGGATGTGTAAACGCTATATATCCTCTGCATTGTGAATAATAAAGTTGTCGTTGTGGCAACTATCTCATTTAAATCTGGCTTCTATATGTCTACTCATTGTAAGGGATATTTCCGGGTGATCATTTGTCTGGAGGCTCATTGTTGTCAAGGTAAGCAGAAACCAACGAAAACAGTAACACTCCGTTACAACAGGCCAATTAGAAATTATAAATTCTGCCAATATGCGACATACAATCCAAAAGCTAGTCAGTTCCAGCCTCCAGTATTCGCCTTAACTCTTAATCTCATAGATTCAAATGATCGCAACTTCCCACTACAATTACAGGCGACTTCATCCTATGGCAAGTTAGTCAGTCACTATAGTGAGAATGAGAAATTACTTTTCGAGGTTCAGTTTACAGGAATTTGATTGGTTTCAAGTCAGATCACGAGTTAATACTATTACGGACTGCTGGAGAGTGCCAGAGTAGGAAAAGCCAAGGGTATAGTACTTGCTGGTCTTCAATGGTTCTCTAAATAATGTCAACTTATGATTAAGTTTTTTGTACCGATATTTCAAAATCCACCTAGTAAGCATTTTTGGTGTTAAACATCTACCTACTTATAAGTAGCTTGAGTTTTAACACTGAAATTTCACAGCTTTGTCATTTAACCCACCGCTGAATATCAATAATGTTTATTTTTCAACAAATATATATTTAATATAAAATCCATCAAGAAGGCTTATACAAACAAATACACTGAAATAAAAGACAGATATTACAGTAAAATAAACGACGGAAGACGCTTAACGAGTTGGTTCTTTTTCAAAATATTCAATTATCTTCTCCAGGTTATAATTTTGTAATAATTTCATTAATTCATCTTTATTACAGCTTACATCCAAGCCTTGAAAACGATACTTATCAATGTACAAATTGATAATCTGATCTAAAATGCAAAAACACAGGGGAAGAAAACAAAAACAAATGACTCAGCCTACAAAATTACAAAATTGTTATGTGAATATTTACACTATGAGAAACAAGATCCACCAATGGAAATTCAGAGAAAACACAGAAGGCGGCTTGTTTGAATCACCGTGCTACATCATGTTCTCGTTAATTATCGTTGTTTTAACTATTAAGTTGTGTTTTCTTTAGTCGTGAACTCTACTTGCGCACATTTTTGGATTGGTTTTCAATCTGTCGGTGCGCGGAATAGCGGGCAACTGAAGAATACTACTCTCAGTGTTGCCGCAAAGAAAGTTCTTCTTAAAGAAGTGGGAATTCTTCTCTTAGGGATATCACTGAATAGGTCACCTTCGAGGTCGGGGTTCATATAAAGTATCTTTTTCGGCATGGCGTCTCCTGCTTTTGGATCTTCTGTTTGGTGTTCCTGTCTATGCAGAAGCCTAAAGGACAAGATCTCGCACCTGCCCACTTCTATGTTTATATATCAATTCACCTGTCGTTGTGGAGCCAGCCAGCTACATCGGTCGTTCGATGCGCATCCTGTCAAAAAAGGTCAAAGGACGTTGTCCAGCGTGGCTACATAAATGAAGCAGTGACCATATAAGGAGCGCAGTAGTCGAACATCTCGTCACCACTGGTTATTCCATATCAACAAACGCCTCCTTCAAAGTAGTCCACAAAGGGAAGAATGACAACCTGTCAAAGACAACTCGTTTCTGCCTTCTTTGCATTGTAGAAGCCCTAGACATTCATCTAGAAGAACCAGAACTATACATACAAAAGTAAATTATTCAACCACTTCTACTATCATAGTAATAACTCTGTTGATTTGACTTTATGCTTGTTTTTCTAACTACTTAAAACCCTTGTGTAACTCCGTATATTTTGTTTCCGTGTTCACCCTGAGCACAACTTTTTCATCGAACTATTCATGTTATTACGTAACTCTTCTTTAACAATCGTTTGTGACAACTCATCACTTTTGTTACTACCATCTTTCATCAACTTCCCAACCCTCTGAATACTTCATGTATTACGTAACTCCATCCGAAACTTACTAATTCTCACCCGTTCAGTTAAAATAAACATAACCAATCGTATTTTTGTTTGATAAACTCAATGTACACATGCATACAAAATAACTTATGTATATTTGTGATTTTGCAGCTAAGAAAATGAATTCGCCGAAAAGAGACTCTTCGCTGAACTAATGGTCTTCTTTCTATCAATGTTCGAATGGAGATTTTTCAGGAAATTAATGAAGAGTTAAGAGGTGAGAAAATAGACAAGTTAGGTGAAGTTAAAAAAACCTATTGAAGGCCAAAATAACAATGAAGATCACTAAACCAAATAACAGAGGTATTAGTTCACCTCCCATCGCTGGCATCAAAACAAAGTTTACCAAGGAAGGTGGTTTAGTGTGATGACGAATTGTTTTTGATGAACGCATAAAGACGGTCAAAACTTCCTAATTACCAGCTTGGGCTTCCACAAACATTAGGATATTCCCCAAACACGTTTTATAGATAGGCTTAAAAGATGTGTTAACGTCAATTTTATGTCCTGTCTCCAAAATATGTTTCGCAATAGAGGAGCTAGGTCTTCTATTCTCAACATTAATGGGTTCTGGGGATCCCATTTGTTTCTGGAGCCCTTCAGGAATATACTCTGAAGCCAGCCATTACTTGCAGAGATCGATGAGTCCTCCCTACATATCTGTATCACCGGTATCGCATGATATAATGTAGATTCCTATTGTACTGGAAGATCCGGGCTGAAAATTCTGTACATTTTGTCCGGAATAAATCTATTATTAATATTATTATTACTGAATAGAAGGAGTAGAAATTTCAAAAACCTGAGATTAGAGTGACCAAAGAATGTGATTCTTTTCGATAAAGCCTTCTTCATTAGATCTAACAGTTATATAGATCCACTATAGTCAAAGAAATACTATTACTATCAACATGAAATCAGTAATATTGGTAGATTACAGTTCAAAAAGTACCCTGTAAGTGATAATATGCAACAATATAACACTAAACTATGTATTAGACATATTGAAAAAATAATAATGCAGAATTTATGAATTTATAGATTCTACAACAGGAGAGAGTAGTAATACGTGCTGAACCTTTCTAGAATCTCCCCGTTACAAGTCGAGTACATAGACCATTCAGCCACTGGGACCCAATCCAATGGCCTTTGGATTCCAACTTCCTCAAATTCACGATACATATATATAGCGCAACCGCTAGCCAGTATCATAGGAGAGTTATTGTTCTCTAACTTGACTTGGTACCCCAGTGGGTGCGTACTGATTCAGAGTCCCAGTCTGGGACGATACAAATATCCACTATTCCCTGTCCGCATTTCCAATGGTTCTCTAAAAAGGCCATCAGCTTGTGATCACACTGGTAACTAATTAAATCCCTTGGAAACTAACACTTGATGTTAGATTGTAACGACAGAAGACAAGGGCTAAGGAACAGATCGTTCACTGAGAAAATCAAAAGATATTTATAGATTTTTATGTACATTATTATTATTATCAGCGTTATTGTTAGTAGAGAAGGAACGTCTTCTGATTGGTTGTTTTCTTACTGAAGGTTATTCTGTACTGCTTGTGACTGTTTCTTAGACACTCAGGCCATATATCTGCGAATCGTATTTGCACACGTTAAATCTGCTACAATTGGTTGGTGAGTGAGTTCCTCAAAGTTAGTCTTTGTTCTTGTTTTTTCTCATGATCCGGATTCGGGACGGAATCAGTGACGTAAATTTCTGTCTACAATTTTTGGCTTGCAGACAGCTCTCACCACAATAATACTTGAGTTTTCTGCTCATGGGGTAAGTGCATAGCAATTAAAACACAGTAAATATCATGTATTGTGTATAAATGTATCTTTCCAAATAAAGTTGCTATTATTAAGTGTTGTTCTGTAAGGATTTCATTGGTTTCAAGTTAAACTATGGGTTGATATCGGTGAAAGAACCCTTCAAAACTAGGGAGTACTAGACAGTTGTTTTGCAGTAGTGTGGATCTCTCTGCCAGGGATTGATTCCGGGACCTTCAGGTTAAAAGTTGAGCCTGTCGAATATTCAGCTATGGTGATGGGATCCACTGGCCATTCCATGCATTCTAACTTTTGTCAATAAGAGCCAGTGAATGCAGTCGAGACTACTAGACTCCATCAGGACAGATGTGTGGACAAATCCTCACCGATGACATCAGATAGGGATGGCATTGTTAGTTTTTAATGTTCATTTACAATATTGAGGGAAATATTTTAAAAATGACAGGCGGATACATTCCAGTAAATGTTAAAACAAATTGAAACTTATTATTATCCTCACTGAATAACGCTCAACGTTCCCTCTTCACGGGGCCTCCTACCAGTCAGGTGAGGTTAAAGAGTACAGCAACAGGGATTGAACTCCAGACCACGTGCTTCATTGTCGAGTATACTCCACTATGTATAAACCGAGAAGCCAGTGTGTAAATCATGTCACTTTGTAGTCAGCCACTTCATTTTGTTTATTTTCTTATACAAGACAGGATTCGAACCCGGGACTTCTAACTTCAAAAACTATACACTTCATCATAAATTACTTATCATGCTGGAACATTTCAATAAATCTTACCATATTGAACTACAATATCTGTGGAGCGGCTACACTGGACTGTTTAAATTATCTATCCATATAAATGCATGATATTTACTCCATTACATATCCAGATATCTCTTTGAATTGTAATCTATACTCAACGTACATTTCTAAATATGTCTCTATCTACGTGTATGAATTTTCTTAAGGGAAACGGAGGAGGAACATTGTGGAGTATTCGGGCATACTTTCGATGAAACAATATTGCTTCAAGTGACATATTATCGATCGTGATCGATGGCTCTCGAGAACCTTTGAGAAACCAAGGAATACTAGATAGTTGTTTCGTCACCCTAGTTTGGACGGTTTTATCAGCACCTACCCGTTGGGTTTCTAATCCAGGATCTTTAGCTTACAAAGTGACCTCACAGACCACTCAACCAGCACATGAATTCTAACTTCTACCAATTACTGGTGTGTGCATCGGTAGCACAGCCGTTAGGATGCTCGCCGACCATGCACATGGTCCGGGGTTCGATCCCCGCCCGACGCACTCCTTTATCTCGTTAAGCCAGAAATTAAAAAAAGCTGGTAAAGAGGAAAGGTTGGGCATGAGGCTAACAACCCCATCCTTTAAAAATAAACACCACTGCTACAGAAACTTGAAGCCTATAGCTTGAAGCCCTATGTTCCACTGGGAACGTGAAGAAATAAAAAAACCAATTACCAGTACATGCCGCCAACTGCAGGCAATGAACAAAGTTGTCGTGAGTTCTACCATTGAGAAATCGTGACCATTAGGGTTCAAGAGGTCGGGTGCGAGGACAAAAACTCACCGACAACCTTAGACAGTAATGGCATTGTTAGTTTTAATATTCATTTACATTACTGAGAGAAATATTTTAAAAATGGCGGGCGGATACATTCCAGAAAATATTAAAACAAAATAAAACTTTTTTTGATTATCCACTTACCATAATATATTTTCAACTGACATGATTTATGTTTAAATTCGTCTTTTAATGCCTTTGAATTTCTCCATATTTCTGCATATTCTGATGGTAAGCTGTCAGGGAATGGATTCCCATTTACGGTATTTGTTAATTTTGTTCTATTTTGTTCTAGTGGATCAATATCAGTGGTATTATTATTGTTGTTTGAAGCATTGAAACATTGAATCTTGTTTGAAATCAACTCTGTAATTGGTTCAATCAGTTTAACTTTTAATTCTAATTCTTTAAGATAAGTGAGTTTAGTGTCAATTTTTCTTAACATATATTCACTACTCTTTGGATGAATATCTGACGTCAAAAACCAGATGAAAATATGAAAAAAGAAATAATAACCTCATAGCCACACCATCAATACGTCTATAGAATTTCTAATTATATAAGAAAAAATGAACATTCTCATTGTACATCTCAAAAGAAGCTCCTTCATAGAAGATATAGAAAGACCAACATCGATGTTTCGTCTAATAATAATAATAATAGCTTTATTCCAAACAGTATTTGTGGTACAGGTATGGAATTTTTAGCGTGCATTACAATATTGCACCTAATAACCTCATAAATTTTATAAGATTTTGAAATCATAAAGCAACAACCAAAAAATAAAAAAGAACAGCGTTGCGTTTACATTTTTAAACAATGCACCACAGGATATGAAATATAAAATTAGTAGTAACGAAGAAAGGAAAACAAAAGCTAATGGGACTAATTGTTAGAGTGCCACAATAAGTTGATCGTGTTATACCTAACGGATTTCTCATCACATAACAGCTGTGCCAGATAAGGTATTGTGGAGTTTTTGTACTTCGTAGTCCTAGCATATAGCCTCCTATAGCTGCTTCTAGTTCTACCAGATGAAATGCAAGGAGAGAGCTGCGTATAGAGAGGACGCTCGGGGTCTGACAATATAGTATTCGCTAGTTTCTTACATGACATTATATGTCTATCCACAATAGTATTAACCAGTTGGTTTAACGATATCCCACTTGCCCTACTAACGGCTTTTAGTGCCCTTCTTCTCTCTCTTTCTTAAGTAGTCCAGGAAAGATTAATGGGGAGCAGTAAAGAGGGATGGGTAGAATACAAGAATTGACAAACTGAGAAAGCAAAGACTGCTTTATACCAGACTGCCTTAACTTCCTAACGTAGAACGTTAAGCGAAACATCTTTCTATTAACTAGCAAGATGTGAGAGGACCAGGAAAGATCGGAGGAAATACTCAGTCCAGGGTACCTGACATTGGATGTAATTTCAACCTCTATACCATCAATGATAGTGGGGCCATGTCAGCTAGCTAGTTATTGTAGGTCACGTTTTCGTCTGAAAGTGAAATTGACTCCCTGACATTTAGACGGATTTAGCTTAAGACCGTTTGAAGAGGACCACTGACTAATTTCCGAGAGAAAGTTATTTAATTTGGAACAATCTGACTGAGAGTTGACAGACATAGAAACAGAGAGGTCATCAGCATACTTAACAAAAGTGGCTGCATCAGAATAAAGGCAATGAGAATTGGCAATAAAATGACTTACTCTAGGTTTGATCACGGATTGACGTCAGCTAAAGAATCAGTGAAAACCACCAGGCAGTACTCCTCAACAGAACTCTCATGCACAACTACACTGAGGGGGGAGGGGGTCAAATCCACTACCGCCTGTTTGTGAGGTCATTTGGGCTGAAATTTAATCACCCGTGAATTGTAACCGCCAATGACATTGGTTGGTGGTCGTGCTCAAGTCGTGAATGGACAGAAGTTAGAATTCACAGGTCATTCAATCCCAGTTCAAGTAAAATGAATGGTTATTGAATCCGGTGCTTAAACAGAAAGTCTTGGATTCGATCCCCACTGCATACTGATGAAGAGTCGCAAACTAGAATGGAATAGTTGTGCAGTACCCTCCCCCTACGACCCGGTTGGTTTTCAATGGTTCTCTAACTGACATCAATCCATGATCCAATTTGAACCAAATCAAATCTCGTTAAATTAACCCTTGAAAATAAAACGACTGTCATATTGAAGAACTCAAGATTATTAGAGAATTGGTTGGAGGATTTCATCATGAGCTGATATCAGTTCGAGAACCATTGGAAAACCACCTGAGAGTACTGGATATCCGTCTGTTTCGTCCCAGGAGTTTGGGATCCCCCAGGTTTAATGGCCAGCAAGTGCATGAATTCTAACTCCTGCCAATTCATGATATAGCGCGACCACTTCGCGCAATGTCTTCTTCGATGAGTTACTGCCTCACCTTCAATCTACTGCACCCCAAGTTTTCCAATGGTTCTCTAACTGATGTCATCTCATGGTGAAATCCTCCAACCAATCAAATAAAATCCATAAAAAACCAATACTTGAAAATATTTGAGAATGATTGAGTGACAAAAATACGTATATGCTGCCAAGGTAAGTTATTATGTCAATCCTACCGGAAAAGCTCTTTTTCTTAAAATTGCAGTTCTTTGGGGATGACATCAATGATATAACAATACAACACTTAAATTATTTATTATTATTGTTCCTTGGGTTCCTAGTGGAACACAGGGCTTCAACTGCACATCTCCACCTGCTTCTGTCTTCTGCTGTACTTTTCACCTGCATCCATGTTAGTCCATACTGTTTCAGCTCTTCTTCACACGATCTCCTCCATGTTACCCTTGCACTGACGTCCCACTCGCCGCTTCCCTTTCGGGTTCCACTCGAGCGCTGGCCTGACGCGCGATGTCACCCAGTGGCCTCCTCAGCGACTGTCCAATCCATCTCCACTTTCTCCTGCATATTTGTTGGGCGATCCCTTCTTGTTTTGTTTGCTCCCATAGTTTCTTGTTGGTTCTTGTTCTTTCCGGCCATCTGATCTTCAGTATAGAACGAAGACAGTTGTTGATAGAGGTCTGCAACCTGTTGGAAATATTCTTTGTGACCCACCAAGTTTCTGATCCGTATAGAAGAACTGACTGACTTGACGTTTGTATTGAAAATCGGAATTTTCTTGTTGATGCTGAGTTGAGTGACGAAGATTTCCAGATTGGTTTCAAGTTGATGATGAATGTGTTTCTCGCCTTCCCGATTCTCGATTTGACATCCTCGTGCGTTCCTCCTGTAGTTGAGACAATGCTCCCTACCTAGATAAGTGAATGAAGTAACCTCTTTCAAATCCCTCCCGTTGATGGTGATTGGCGCTGGATGTTGATGCTGCTGTTGTTGTTGTTGGTTGGTTATTTTCATAACCTCCGTCTCGTCTGTGTTCACCTGGAGTCCTGTCTTTGTTGCTTCTTCGACCAGTTTGTCGGTTTTCGCTTGTAAGTCTTCGATTTTGTGTGACATCAAACATAAATCATCCACGCGCGACATCCAGGTCCTCTAGGTTCTTGACGTCGGTCCAGGATATCCCTGTCTTCTCGTTTCCCACTGTCTGACGCATAATCCACTTAAATAATAAAGTACAAAGAGCATTCAATACTGCTGAAATTCTTTGTCTCTTCTCAAAAGAGTCTCTTCGCTGAATATTGTGTTCATCATTCAAGATCTCTAAGCTATCAATCAGTTGAACAGATTTGTGATGCGAAATCTACACAGATCTAAATAAAACAAATCCTCACAGAACTAAAACTGAATCCTACCACCACACACTATCGTCGATATTATCCAGAACTTCCAGAACAGAGCTACATGCTCAGAAGAAGTAATTGAAGATGAATTAAACATTGTGTATGATACCTTGATTTAAAATAACTATCCCGAAAAATTTATCAAGAAACACATGACAAAGAAAGCGGAAAAGGACTACTCACTATCTGTAAACAAGAAGCCACTTTATATACGACTACAATTCAAGGGCGATATACCAAGTGAGATAATTACGAGGAAATTAAGAAAATCAGTTCAAAGGACTTTTAATGCTGGCGAACTACACATCTTATTCCCTACAAGACCGATGGTGCTACCTCGACTGAAAGATGAAGTACCTAGACTAGCTGGCCACTTCAAATTGTATCTACCAATTCAACTGCGCTCGCCGTGGAGCGAGTTATGTTGGCCGTTGCTGTAGGAACTTGATTTTTCGTGCTCTAGAACATCTCCCACTATGGCTAAGTAAAGGTGTAGTTAAAACCATTAACAGTTCGATATTGGAACATCTGCTGCAAACCGGCCACAAAGCCAGCCACCATTGAAGAATCCTTCTCTATAATCCACCGGGTGCCTAATAAATTGCCAAAATCATCGAAGCACCGCATGCTCCAAACAGCAGAGGCTATCGCAATTCGCCTTAAACAACCTCAAGTCTGTGTCCAAAAGAAGAAGGTCCAGCCCCTACTAATGCCCTGGCCTTCAGTAGAAACTATAAACTCATGAATTTATAATTTTTCTGACATTCAGCTTATTTTATGTTGATGCTATCGAACTGTAATCCATTGGTATTATTATTTTAAATGAATTTTAGATTTTTCCCGTCGATTTATTGATCGGTCTCAGGTTGACGTGTCGGCTTCTTGAGCATATGCTTCGACGATGTCTGGGCATTTAATTAGTATTTAATTGGTGGATGGTGACTAGCAGTGGAATCCAGAATGCGCATTTCGTCCTATCCGGGACTCGTCATCTGGATGTACCTGCATTTCTCAGTGAGTGATGATGTCCCCACCGAGGCTCGAACCCAGTGCTAATAGTTTCCAACGCCAAAGCGTTATCCACTAGACCACTTGGGCCACGGGAGGCACCTCTTGTGCAACGGGTCATATTGATTCAATTGAATTTGGTCTAGTGGATAACGCTTTGACGTTGGAAGCTATGGGCACTGGGTTCGAGCCTCGGTGGGGACATCATCACTCACTGAGAAATGCAGGTACATCCAGATGACGAGTCCCAAATAGGACGAAATGCGCATCCTGGATTCCACTGCTAGTCACCATCCATCAAATAGACATTATTATTATTGATTCGATGTTATTGATACATTAATGTTGTTAATAACACTAATTCATTCATTCACTATTATGTGTATATAACTGTAGAGCCTGATGATGAAGGGTTATCGAAAAGTGTACTCTTTGTTCAGTATCCATTCTTTTGAAGAAATGATAAAAAAAAAAAACACAAAGTAACCTACCCAGCTGAATTGTCAATTGAATCTTTCTCTTATTCGCTTCTTTAGTTAAAACATCTTTCAAGATGGCTATTGTAGATATATTATCTGATAACAGTCTTGCTTTGCCTTTCTCATAATAACATTTTAATTGACTGTGAAAGTAAATTGATGTATAAAATAATTCAGCGTATTCCTGCATCCCTTGATTATCACCATTATCATTTGTTACAGCAGTAAGGATTGTCGGACGTTCAGGTGTTTCTGGTAGACAGATAGACAACCAGTTGTGCATTTCTGTTAGTGAAAATTGTCCAGATAACTGAAGACTATTCCAAAGTCTAGAGAAAAGCGGGCGGGAGGGGGGAGGTGTATGATGATTGGTCAGTGAACAAACAAAATACTTTCATACATTTGATTTTACTTGATAAATTTCGATAAAGAAGGGTAATAGAGAAAACATCAAAAGATGAACGAATCCGGAATACTATTATTATTGTTTCCTTTAATTCCTAGGGGAACATAGGGTTTCAGCCGAACGTCTCCATTGCGTTTTCACCTGGCTCGACATCTGCCTACATGCTTTCATCTCCTCTTCGAATCACCTCCTCCTCCATGTCGCCTTCATACTGACAGCCAACTCGCCGCTTCCCGTTCGGGTTCCACTCGAGCGATGGCCTGGCGTGTGATGTCACTCACTTGGTGGTTTGTTTTATCAGAGTATGGCCAATCCACCTCCATTTCTTCCTGCATATTTTTTGCACAGTTGGTTCCTGATAGGTTAGTTCGTTCGTTCTCAGAGATCCCTGGTGCTGATCTTTTCTGGCTGGTCATCTGACCGTGAGTAGTATTGAGCGAAGAGAGCTGTTGATAAGGGTTTGTAGTTTGTTCGAAGTGGCCTTCGTGACGCGGCGCGGCACCAAGTCTCTGATCTGTATGGAGTAGCACTGACTTCACATTGGAATTGAAAATCCGGATGCTATTTTTCATGCTGAGTGGTGTTGATCTCCATGCAGACTTGTTGAGAGTAATGAAAGCTTGACTTGCTTTCCCTCGCTGCTTTGATATCATCATCAGTTCTGTCTTCCTGTAGTTGAAACGATGCTTCCCAGGTAGGTGGGTAGGTGAAGGAGATTGCTTTTTTACAATTTTTAGTTTAAATCCCGCCAATTTATATGCTATCAAACTATGAAAAAAATAAAAAAGGAGGGGGTTGAGAGAAAACAGAAAAATCTAGTAGACAGTGTTAGGTTGTACGTCTACATTGCAACTCAAGAAGGTTAAAGTTCATCAACTCGAAAACTTGCTTAGTGAATTGAGTTCACTAGCGTGTATGACTAATCAGTGTAATGAAAGTAATACGGTTACAATATGTTCAGAGCATATTCCAAGAAACTTATGCTCAAAAGGAAGCAGATATTTACAAAGTGCAATTACCAGACACCTACCCTGTGAATACGGGTCATTTCGTCGAGATTTCCAAATCCTTCAAAATATTAAACATACAAAGGACAGCGAATTTACTACGATTTACTGCTGAAGCAATTGCAATCAAGCGTTTCAGACCAAACTTATGCACACAGAAAGAGAGAGTGTAGTCAATCTCTCAATCCCTTCGTAACTGTATTACTTTCATTACACTGATTAGTCAAACACACTAGTGAGTTGCTATGTTGACATACAAGCTAACACTATTTATTAGATTTTCCTGTTTTCTGTCTTCTCTCACCCACTTTTTTTCTTTCATAGTTTGATAGTATATAAATTGATGGTAACTTAAACTAAAAATTGTAATGCTTATGTTCCGGATTCGTTCATCTTACAATGTTTTCTGTATTATCTTTCAAACTTTGAAGTATGAAATGTTATTCTTATTTATAACCATTGTAATCATTACAGGTAGTGGTATGCAGTTAGCTGATGAGGAGAACCTGTGAAATATAATGATGATATCACATTTTATCCTGTAAATCTGGTCTTTCTTTCTCTATTGAAAACAAAATATTCTTTTCAGCAACTGTTTCTTCGATAAGTTCTTAGAAAAAATTGGTTTAGAATAACAGTCATCTTGTGATTGGATGATTCTGACTGCCTGTAAAATCACACCAGCTTTCTCTGACCTTGGTCCTGGTCAGATTATCAGCCAATCAGAATATTTGGATACTAGATGGTTGGAGGCAATCGGAAGGAATTCTTGGACGTAGGTTCCGTGCTAGTTGGCACTCACCAGTCAGCAAGGCGTTTCTGCAATCTCGAAGGAACTCATGTCCCTTCTGAGATTCAAATCCGCGTCACCCAGTGCTGCAGTCAGAGACGTTAGCACTGAGCCAGCTGTTCGGGCTCGCAATTGATCTCCTGTAGGACTGTACTGGATTTTTTGACTGGACGCTAGTCAGTAACTGGTGTAATGTGTCTAGTCCTATCTTTGATGCAGACTAAATTCTATCAATCAGGCTTGCAGATACGCCTTGCTGATGAGTGCCGACTAGCACGAAGACTAGGTCCAAGGCTTCCTGCCGATTGCCTTCAACCATCTAATACCAGCAATTCACAGTGCACCGTAATGGCGAGCCACCTAGCATGGTGGCCACATTACAAACCTGACTGATAGAATTCAGTCTGCACCAAAGATAAGACTAGACACATTGCACTGTTTACTAGTGTCCAATCAAAGTACTTATTACAATCCTACAAGAGGTCAATCGCGACCCCGAATAGCTGGCTCAGTGCTAACGTCTCTGACTGCAGCACTGGGTGACTCGGGTTTGAATCTCAGAAGGGACATGAGTTCCTTCAAAGTTGCAGATGCGCCTTGCTGATGAGTGCCAACTAGCACGAAACCTAGGTCCAAGGCTTCCTTTTGACTGCCTCTAACTATTTTATACTGACCAGCTTTCTCTGACCTTGGTCCTGGTTCAATTATCAACCAATCAGAACATTTATTTTTCGTGGACATAAACGAATCTCCTACCAACAGTTTATTTTCTACTGATCTAGGCAGATTTTATTATGGTTAAAAAATATAAATATGACGTGTCAAATTGAACTTTAAGCACCAGTGAATACCACTAGATTGTGGCTGCACCAACAACTATGAATCGACTTTTGAGTTTCTTCATGTGAGATCAAGCGTCTATTTCGCTTGATTCGAGTGAAATGTCTGCCCTAATGCAGTTACGTCTGAAATTTGGTGAAGACCAAGTTTCCCAGTACTGCTTAGATATAGGATTGATTGGAAAGGGAAGAATTTGTTCCTGTAGAGGTATCATGAGTATAAAAAACTTCAGTAGACTGTTTGATGAATATATTCATCGTTGTGAAATTTATGTCGAGACGAATTAGTGTGAGGGAAGGTAGACTGATAATTGTACTGTATTGTAGGAACATATTTTTTCCCAGATCCCATCTATCATTAACCCAGATTTCGTAAAATTTTTGTAATTACTGGGTTTTAAAACAGTCTGTGAGAGCTGCAGTTGCCGAAACAGAAAATAGTCCCGTTTTTTAACAATTCAGTGATACTAGTACTGAAGAGTTATTGCATCCTGGGAGATGGAGAAGGTCGCTTCTTGATTGGGGGAAGAGAAGGTGTCAATGTACATATAGCGCAACCCTCAACAAATTAATGCCTTCAATGAGCATCGTTCCACTTCATCTTGACGCACGGTGGATCCTACCGGTGACGACTTTCCACTTTGGCCTCAGGAAATCCATCCAAGTAGCTATCAGTGAGCTGGCGAATGATGATCAGATTATAGAGTTTGTGGGGATTGTGGATTAGTTACAATCATTAGATTTTCGTCACGAACGAGCTTAGTCTTGTAATCTGCGGGTCTCTAGGGCTCTACCCCTGGTGGGGATCGTGTGTGCACACTGATGAAGAGTTTCAAACTGGGATGAAACAGCCATCCAATGCTTCTTGTCGGTTTTCAATGATCTCTGTTTAACTGAAGTTGGTCCAAGACAAAAATCTAACAAATGTGATTGATCCAAAATCGATAAATTCTCCAATGTGAAGATCAATTTATTTCAGGATTTCATCATGAACTAAAATCAGTTATAGAACCATTGCAGAACCTAGGAGTACTGGACAGACAGATGTTTCGTCCTAGTTTGGGACTCTTCATAAGTACTTACCCACTGTGTTTTGAATCCACGACGGGTGTGAGGAAAAATACTCACCACCGATGACATTCGCTAGTGTTCGTGCCACATCAGGAATTCGCAGATCGCGGCCCAGTGACTTAATAGTCTACGAGCTCGCCTTGTAACCAGAAGGTCTTGGGTTTGAACCCTGGCGGTGGATGCGTACTGATGAAGAGTTTCAAAAAGGGATGGAAGAGCCGGTTGTCCAGTACTCTCACGTGGTTCTCCAATGGTCCTCTAACCGATGTCAGTTCATGGTGAAGTCCTGAAACCAATCAAATCCCTGAAAATCAAGTTGTGACCAGTAGGGTGCAGCAGGTCGGGTGTGAAGACAAATACTCGCCGAAGACATTGGCTAGGGGTTGCGCTATATTGTGAAGTGGCAGAAGTGAGAATTCATGGGCCATTGGATTGGGTGCCAGTGGCTTAATGGTCTACGAGCTCGTCTTATAACCAGAAGGTCCTGAGTTCGAACCCCGGTGAGTGCGTACTGGTGAAGAGTCGCGAACTAGGCTGATGAAACAGCTGTCCAGTACCCCCGGGTTATGCAGTGGTTCTCTAACTGATATCGGCTCATGATGAAATCCTGTAACCAATCAACCAAATCCCTACAAACTAATACTTGTATAGCAATTTATTATTTTTAGTATCGAAAAGTATGCTAGATAGCCTAAATTGTTACAACACTTTTATATATGACCTCCTGAGTTAATACACCTATGAGTAATAACGCAAGTAGTAGTAGTAGTATTAGTAGTAAAACTTTTAAATCTTACCTGTCTGAGTAACTCTCATCACCATTACCATCATTGATATGATGACATAATCGATGTAATGATAATGGATGTATTGATAATTTAATAGATTTACACGCTGTCACAGTTGATGTATTCATTTTTGGCACAATATATACTAATACTTGACCATATTGACCTTCAACAGTACGAAATTGAAGTTCAAAGTGTGTTGTATTCATTTGACATCTGTAAGTGGTCAGTGTTATCATGCCATCCTCAAAAGAAAACCACAAAAAACAAACAAAGTGATAAAAAAAGGCGGAATCACAAAACTATTCACTTTTGTTAAAAATTAATTTTGTATTAGATAATTTCTGTGTAATCTACAACGGGAAACTCACGGAATCCTTCGAAGTGAATGAAGACGAGAGTAAGACAAGCTGGCTGGCTGCCTACTATCTCCAATGATTTTCCTGATTGTGGTAGATTGGATAATGCGACAGAAAGCGGGCCGGGCGACGAGGAGACAGGCATAAAATGGACCCAAACAAAAAATTGGAGGATCAGGACTTTGCCAATGATGATATATGTCTGATTTCCTACAAACTGGAAGATATGCAAGTGAAAAACAACAAGTTGGTAGAAGAAACATCAAAGATAGAGAGGACTTCAGATGAACATAGAGAAAACAGATGTGGTGATGAAGATTCCTGGCCAGCAGCAACAGAAACAACAACAGACAACAATCAGCCAGCATAAATGAGAGAAACTGAATCTGAAAGAAGCGACCTCCTCTACCTACCTACCAACCCGGGAAGCATCGTTTCAACTACAGGCGGACGGAACTGATGAGGATATCAAAGCAGCGAGGATCGGGAAAGCAAGGAAAGCTTTCATTACTCTAACCAAGTCTGTGTGGAGATCAACAGCACTCAGCATGAAAATGAAAATAAGATCCGGATTTTCAACTCCAATGTGAAGTCAGTGCTACTCTACACGGATCAGAGACTTGGCGCCGCGCCGCGCCGCGCCACGTCACGAAGGGCACTTCGAACAAACTACAGGCTTTCATCAACAACTGTCTTCGCTCAATACTACTACTACTCAAGATCAGATGGCTGGCCAGAAGAGATCAGCAACAGGAATCTCTGGGAGCGAATCAACCAACCAGGAACCGATTGTGCAAGAAATATGCAGGTAGAAATGGAGGTGAATTGGCTGACCATACTCTGAGAAAACAAACCATCAAGTGAGTGACATCACACGCCAGGCCATCTCTTGAGTGGAACCCGAATGGGAAGTGGCGAATTGGTCGTCAGTGTGAGGGTGACATGGTGGAAGAGGGGATGTGAAGAAGAGATGAATGCATGTGGGCAAACGTGGAGTCAAGTAAAAACGTTGACAGAGAATCTAACGGAATGGAGACGTGCAGCTGGAGCCCTATGTTCCTCTAGGAACTAAAGGAAACAATAACAATATTATAATAATTTCTGTGTGTTGACACCCATACAGTGAAGCACATGGGCCCGGGTTCGATTCCCTTGTGGACGCACTCCCGTAATTCTCGCCAAGTTAGTAAAGGGGGAAGGTTTGGTGTGAGGCCAGCAACCCTAACCCGTGAAAGTAACACCACAGCTACTGAAATTCCACAGCTTAATCGCTGGAGCCCTCTGTTCCACTTCGAAAGCTTACTGCACTATAAATGTTCAGTTTTTACTCGTGTCCTAGTGGCACTTATTTTAAAACTGAGGCATTAGGACGTATAGGTTATCGGAATAATAAAAATTCCCATAGTTAAATTTAGAACAACACATTTTAAGCGAACAATACTGTTGTTTTCAATTAGATCTCATCAGGCTTAACTCTAATATATATAAGTTTACAAATAAAAATTCAAATATAAACCAATCATGGTGTTTTGTCTATAGGATAATAAGATGGTGAATATAAATTGTGCAATTAGTCATAATAATAGTAATAATAATAATGATAAATAATAATAGTGGTTTTATCAATAATAAGGATGAGAAAGTGAGGCAATCTGTGAAAACACGAATAACGAAAAACAGCATGATTAAACAAACAACTATTCAGGTGGAAGTAGTCGATAAAGGCTAGTAAAAACAAATGAACCGATTAAGTAATGTTAGGTTATAAGGGAAGGAAATGAAACACGCTTTTAATGAAGATGTGATAAGATTAAAGGATGATATGGGAGGGGTTGAAAATATAAGTAAAGGGTGGTGTAGAAGTCATCAGTTGGTTATGTCTTAATAGGCCAACAAGGGAGGGATAATGGCCGTACGAACTTCTTTTGAATGCATAGTTTAGGTTTAATAGTTCGAATGCCTATTGCCTGCCCCAGCTATATGCAGTAGACAAATACGAAGTCTATTGAAAAGATTCGGTGGGACACTGTGAATTACGTTAAAAGCTCTTGTTTTCTCCACTACATGACCACTATCAACTAAATGTGACAAAATTGAGCTACGGGTTGTTTTTGTCTGTCCTTTGTCAAACCACGATGGGAGATGTTCAGTAGTGACACGTCGGCTAAGCTGTCTAGTAGTACGCCCAACATAACTGTCACCACAGATGCAGTTGAATTGATAAATACACATAGATGTGTGGCGAAACTATCTAGCTTATCCTTCGTTTATGTTCCAATCATTCGTCGGCTAGAGAATGAAAAACATAGGTGTGCTGCGTAAAATGTTCTTCGTATACTCCTGGAAAGTCTCTGGAATAAAATCTCACTTGACAACAAGTCACTATTAAATTGTAACTTAATAAATAGAGGTTTTTCACGTGCAATCATAGTCTCAGGTTTTCTTTCTGATGTTTTCATATGTTTCTTTATGAAACTATCTCCGTCAAGGAGTCGTGAATATATTCAAATTCCTTTTGTAAGAGGTCATCCGTACATATCTTTCTTGCTCTGTTTGTAAAACATTTAACAACATTTCTTTTATGTTTAATGGGCGCATAACCAAGGAAGAGTGTGTATTGCCCTGTGAATATGCTTTTTCTATACACGCTTCTCCAAAGTGACCCATCTTCCCGCCTACTTAGCAAGACATCCCGAAAATGTAGTTTACTATCCTGCTCCCCTTCACAAGTAAAAGTAAGCTAAGGGTGAACGTTGCAGTAGTATGAATTATTGAAGACAAAGTGAACATTCATTGTGAATTCAAGGAGTAGTTTTTTGAGGCTACACAAGGGAATTCCAAAGTCCAATTGCCTTTCGGTGTCTTCTCGGCAAATGTAACCTACCGTTTCGTTAAGTGGTGCATTCGTGAACGATATCATCGCCTATGTGAGTTAATCTTGATTTGATGGATATACTGTAAGTTTTTCTTCGTATTACTTTTCGTTCTCAGTGGAACATAGAGTGGCTTCAAGCTAGAGCTGTGAATTTTCGGTAGCGACGGTGTTTATTTTCAAGGAATGGGGTTGCTAGCCTCATGCCTAACCTTCCCTCTTTACCAGTCTTATTACTGTCTTAGTGAGGTAAAGGAGTGCGTCGGCCGGGGATCGGACCCCGAACCTCGTGTGGCATGGTTGGCGAGCATTCTACCACCGTGCCACCGACGTTCCCTAAGCGCTCACGCACCAGGAATTGAACCTGGGCCTCCTGGATGAAAGCCAAGAATCCCAACCGATAGACTGCAAGTACTCCATCTTAACGTCCAGATTAAAATCTAGGCTAATAGTCAAATTTATCCCTTGGCGTTAATTTTAGACGGAAATTTGTATAAGACCTCTTTCTGTCGCATCAGTTACGCTGAGTCGGACGTACGTTTTACACGTCTAACTATACCATACAGTGAAACAGTATTATTATTTACTGGATAACAAAGTTTCGAACACAATTTATTGTTTTTCATAATCATATCATCAATTGTAAATGAATAACTTCGAAACTGTGGTTTTACAGTTCCCTTTATTCCTTCCAATTCATTTTAGGGGTAGCAGAATTTTTCAGATATTCTAGGAGAACAGGCGTTGAATCATTGCTACAACAGTTAATTCCTTCAGTTGATTTGATAAGTAAAGCTTCCGTTATCACAATCTGACTACTCACCGTACTATATGAGATTTTAAGACTGTCATCTTATCATGTCCTGTTGGATAACTGAGTGTAACTGCACCTAAGAAAAGCTTTGAAACTTAATAATTACCCTGATAAATTTATCAGTAAGTATTTAGAAAAATGTAAAAATAAAATAAATAATAATAGTGGTAGTGATAATAGTTATAATTATATTAATGACGACATGCATTTCAAACATGCACAGGATAATGACAACACCAACAATAGGGAATTTAAATCATCAGTAATACTTCCACACAAAGAAGGAACTTTGAAAACCTTACGGAGAATTCTTAACAATGCAGGAATAAAAGTAGCGTTCTAATCCACAAACTCAATCAGAAGTAAGCTTTGTCGGTTAAAGGATCCTGTGGAACCAGAAGGTCCTGGGTTCAAACCCCGGTGGGTGCGTACTGATAAAGATTCCCAAACTAGGACGAAGGAGATGTCCGGAAGTGCTCCCCGGTGGTTTCCAATGGTTCTGTAACTGATGCCAACTCATGATGACATCCTCCAACTAATCAAACAAAATTCCTACAGAGACAATACTTGCCAATTAAATAAAACAACTTAGTTTATCTGATAGCCTGCAATGACTGTCAGGTCATAATATGGGTCTAAGTAGTTGAACAGGGTTAGTCAGACTAGCCGAGCATAAAAACCCAGCAAAATCTAGATTAGTTGACCTGAATAAGATAAGAAATCTGGAGAATAGTGCAGCTATACAACTCACTACATGCAATTACACACAACACAACCATACAATAAGGTGAGATAGGATGACAGTTTTAAAATCTAATGCAACAGCAGGGTGGAGGGAGAGATTGATAACAGAAGCTTTATGCTTATCGAATCAACTGCAAATACGTGTGATAGGAATGATTCAACACCTGTCCAGTTGCATATCTGGAAAATTCTACTACCCCTACGACAAATGGGAAACAATAAACTGAAATTTTAAAGCTGTGCAGTTATAGTTGAGTAATATCATTTCACTGCGTCTATCTGAACACACTGCATCATTGGAATTATGACTAAATGGCCATAAATAAAGTGAGGAGTGACTAGAACAGCAGCCAGCTAAATTATTGACTGTTTGATTGAACTTTAAGACGAGGCGGAGATGCCCTGATGATAACCAGAGTCTAAGGTTAGAATCTGTGTCAGTTATGCAAGTACCACCCGTGAACTAAACCTAAGCAGTACTCACAAGACTTCCAGAGACGTCCGCAACGCAGACCTAGTCAAACTTAAAGACACCAAACATCCGACTGTGAGGCCTTATCTCCAAATAGTTCCTCACATATTAATACATCTAACCGTAATCAGAGGTGAATTCATCGTGCTACTTTTCCAAGTGATGGTCGGAGTCGACAAAGTAGCACGTACCTCAGATTCTCGTACTTTTCTGGACTGGACTGGTTTCAACGCAGAACTTTGCACCGATGTGCAGCAGTTCTAGTTGCCACACTCCCTCCATGTAGCAAACAAAGCAAGAGAAGGAAGTAAAAAGAAATGCAAAATAGAGACAGTAAACAGAGACACGAGGCAAAAAGAATACTAATGTTGAAGAACAACATAGTTTCATTGTCACAAGGAGTAGATGCATCTGCGCCGACGATTTTGAGCCATATCATCGATTGTCTCCAGCCTCCATTGGCTTTTAACGTCCCAAGGACCCAAAATGGTCAAGAAGTCTACACCTTCCTACGTGGCTTAAACTAATTGTTGTGGATTTCATTGACTGATGAAGCCATGTTTTAGTTTGACCACCGCTGGCTCTTTTCCAGCCTAACCCTATATCAGCTAACACTGCCCATTGTCGAGGAAGGCTATGACTAGGCATACGTAACACATATCCTAACCATCTCACTCAGTCGATATAACTTCACAGCCTCATCTATTGATTTCCCCTCCTTACCTACCACTCGACCAAAGCCTAACCTCCATATTGCTTACCCTATTATACTACTTCACTTCTCGTAATTGTAACGCAGAATATGTGGCTCAAGATCGTGCCATCACCCGAGCACAACATCGACATATCCACTGCATCAATTCGGGCTCCTATATTCTACAGTGTAACACACAGAAGCCTAAACTACTATATCCCAAATATTGGAATAACTAGAAATATGCGACCTCCTCTGAATAGCTGAACACAGCATAAACTTTATTTGTGTGTGAGCTCAAAAACCTCGAGATGTTTACACCACATAGTCAAGATGATTCTTCTGTCGTAAACACGTGGTGAGAGCTGTCTGCAAAACAAAACTGTAGACAACAATTTATGTTAATGTTTACGTCCCAAATAAGGGTCATGAGAAAAAAGAAGAACAAAGCTTAACCTTGAAGAAATCAACAACCAATCACAGCAGACTTAGCGTGGGCGGATACGATTCGCAGATATGTGGCTTAACTTTCTAAGAAACGGTCACAAGCAGTACAGAATAACCTTCAGCAAGAAAAAACAACCAATCAGAAGACGTTTCTTCTCTGCTAACAATAATGTACGTAAAAATCTATAAATATCTATTGATTTTCTTATTAAACGATCTGTTACCTGGCCCTTGTCTTTTGTAGTTTCAAATAGGCATCTAAAAATTCCTCATGGCTTGCAAAAGTGTAAAAGGAACGAAACTTCAACTTACAGGTTTTTTGCAAATACTTGAACTACACACAGCTGTACTATCTTCAACATCCAATAAATCAATAAAACAATCACTTTGTATCATTAAATGATCAATTGGCAACTGAGTTTCTAAATTTAAACAATATGCAGCTAATTGTGTATTGAAATAAAATTTATAATCTAATTCTAATGGTATCAGAATGAGTCGTTCTTTTTCAATTTGTTCTTGAGTACTTTTCAATTGTTGTAGTTGATTTTCTAAGTCGATAATTTCATCACTGATAGAAAAAATAAAAGAAGAAAACAAAAAACTGCAATTGAAAATTGAACATGAATAATTTTCTTTTTGATTATAGCTTGATTCCATACCCTTTTTTTGGTACAAGCATGGAATTTTCAGTATGTGATGTCGGTAGCCCATATTTTGGAGGCTAACCGATCGATATCAGGTGTGCATCGGCAAGGGATCGAACCCCGGATCATTTGTATGTCCGGTGAGAGTCCTAACGATTGTGCCACCGAAGCACCGACTAGGATCTGATTCATTTCAACGTTGATAACGGATTGATGCCAGTGAGGGAGTACTAGACAGATAGTTCATCTTAGTTGGGTACCCTAAATCAGTTCACACCCACGGGAGTTCAAGTCGACGACCTTCATGTTACACGGCGAACACGTAGACCAGACAATGTCATCGGCGAGTATTGGGGGTCTCGCCAAAATCATGTATTGGTATGAGTTAGAATTCACGAGCCATTGTATCGGGTCCCACTGGTTGAATTGTATGCGGGTTTGTTTCGTAACCATAAGGTCCCGGGTTTGAACCCCGGTTGATGGGTGCTGATGAAGGGTCCCAAAGTAGGATGAAAGAGGTGCATTGCATTTCCTAACTGACAGCAATCCATGATCGAACTTAAAACATGAATAAGTCAGTGCTGACTGGTTCCGAAATAGAATTTTATATAGATGTGCAACAGTTCAACTTGCCATTCTGTCTCCATGTAGCATACAAAGCAAGAGAAGAGAGTGAAGGGAGACTCAAAAGAAAGATAATAAACAGAAGTGTGAGCCAGGAGAAAAGAATAGTAATATGGGAGAACAATGGAGTGAATGCTTCTTCACCAGCAATCATTGAGAGCGATTTTGAGCCAGCCATATCACCAACTCTCTCCAGCCGTCATTGGTTCTTGCCATCCCAATGACCTCAAACCGCGAAGCCTATACCTCTCTGCGTGGCTGAGTCAAACTAAATCTCTAATATTTCATGAAATGACTCCAAGTTTCGGTTTGATCACTTCTAATTCTTTTCCAAACTAATTCTATGTGAGGGGCTAACATTGGCTGTCGAGGAAGGCGGTGGTTAGGTATACGCAGCAACACACTTCTTAACCATCTCAATCGATGTGCTTAAGACTCGGGATTAGTGGAATAAAATTGACTGAGCTTATTTATATACACCCTAGTTTTTACTAATCTTAAAATAACAGAATTTTTCAGGCTAAAACCTGCTTCAGCTGTGTTAAGCGATTCTCTACTCAAGCAGAAGATTTCGCCCCAACTTGATTGGACAGTCTTTGATAGTTGACGGTACAAAACCCAGATTACTTACCTAAGTATGATAAATATCATTCCCTTGAGTTCCCAGTGGAAGTAACATAGGGTGTCAGCAGCACATCCAAACCGTCCTTTCTCACATAGGTTGCACTGGAAGACCTGGAGAATGATGTCATTCGGCTGTCTCTTCAATGAGTTTCCAATCCAAGTCGATTTCCTTCAGAATATTTGCTGGGTAATAGGTTCTTGATTGTCTCGTCGCATGCCAGGGTTCCTTGTCACTAATCCTTTCTTGCCTGCCATCTGAAATCGATGGATACTAGCTGTTGATAAAATCTCAAGCTTGTTCGAAGGGCTTGTCGTGACACGACAAGTCTCTGAACCATATAGAAGCATTAACTGACTTCATATTCGTGAAGAAAATCCGATTCTTGTTCTTGATGCTGAGTACAGAAGATTTCGAGACTTTCGGATTTATGAAGAACCATCTTGCCTTTCCTATCCGAACGTTGACATCCTTTTGCGTTCTACGGAAAGTTGAAACGATGTTGCTTATATAAGTGAAAGAAGCAATCTCTTTCAAATTCCTACCACTATTACTATTCTTATTATTATTCACTTGGGTTCCGAGTGGAACATAGGGCTTCAACAACATATCTCTACTTCATTCGATTTTCTGCTGTCCTCTTCAGCTGCTTAGCCACACAATTGCCAATAATCTCTCATCTCCTTCTTCCCAAACGATCTCCTCCATGTCACCCTCGCATTGACAACCCATTCGTCGCTTCACATTCGGGTTCCACTCGAGTAAAGGCATGCACTGCGCGCGATGTCATTCGACGGTCTCCTCAGTTGTGTGTGCCTGATCCATCTCCATTATCTTCTACATATTTGTCAAGCAATCGGCTCTCGCCTGTTGGTTTGTTCTCATGTAGAGTTTCTTGTTGTTAAATCTTTCTGGCCATTTGATCTTCAGTATAGAACCAGCAAAGGTGGCATCTGTTGATAAGAGTTTGCAATCTGATCGAAATGCTTCTCGTGACGCGTTCACCAAGTTTATGACCCATATAAAAAGAACCGAATTTACATTTGTGTTGAAAGTCCGAATCTTGTTCTTTGTGCTGAGGCAGAGTGCAGTGCAGTTGATTTCCAAACTGGTTTCAGGTTGATCAAGGCGTATCTTACCGTCCCGACTGCGTGTGGTTGAATCGATGATTCCTAGAGTAGTGAAGGCAAGAAGTGACCTCTGTTAAATCTCTCCCGTTGATGGTGATTAGTGCTGGCCGTTGTTGCTGTTCGTTGGCTATCTTCATCAACTCCGTCTTCTCTATGTTAACCTACAGTCCAGTCTTCGCTGCCTGCTTCTTCGGTCTACCACTGACAGTGATAAATGCCCATGGTTCGTTAGATATCTTCACCACCCATGACTTCTCCATGTTAAAACCATCATTATAAGCCACTAGAATGAACAAATATCTTTTGATATGGTTAGAGGATTTTCATCATGAGCTGACATTAGTTAGACAACCATTGGAAAACCTGGGAGTACTAAAGAGATGTTCCGTCCTAGTTTGGGACTCTTCAGCAGTACGCACTCACCGTGGTTCGAACCCAGGACCCTCTGGTTACAAGGCAAGCTCGTAGACCATTCTCCATGTTCACTTGAAGTCCTGCCTTCACTGTCTACCTCTTCTACCAAATAGTTGGTTTTCGCCCGAAGATCTTGAAATTTATGTAACATAAGACATATCATCCACGAAGTTCGAATTATCGATAGTCTTCTTGTAGGCCCGACTTATTTCAATCTTCTCCCGCCCTACACAGAGTTTGCCACATGATCCAGTCCACTACAATCAGGAATATTATCCGAAAAAGTCATCAGTCTTGTCTTACTCCTGTCTTCACTTCAAAGATGTCGCTGAGTTTTCCGCTGTGGATCATTTGGCAGATGGCACTGTCATATTGTGATGAGAGCTGGCTGCTAGCCAAATGGGTAGACAGTAATTTACGTCAATGTTTACGTTCTCAAGATTTGTCGTGAGAAAAAACAAGAACAAAGACTGATTCAACAACCAACCGCAGCAGACTTTGCGTAGGCTGATACAGTTAGCATATAGATGATCTGATATTCAAGAAACAGTGACAAAGAGATGAAGGATTAACGTTCAGCGGGAAACCACCTATCAGAAGATTGTGTTTGTCTGCTAACAATAATATATAATAATGTACATGAAAATCTATAAATATGTGTTGATTTTCTTAATAAACGATCTATTGCCTGGCCGTTGTCTTCTGTTGTTACAATATAGCCAGCTGTTGAATGAGGTTGATACGCCTTTGAGGCACTGCACTCCTTTGGTGTTTGAGTAGTCTCCAAATCACTTCACAGTCAGCTCTGTTATTAAACTATTCAATACTACAGCGGAAAGGAAAATATTCACCGGCAAACGTTTTCGGATTTTAAAACAAAAAATAAATTCATTTATAAACTTGTTTTTGATATAAAATTATGCATAAAATACTAAATAAAATTTAGATATTAAAGATTTACAAAAAAAAACAAAATAATTGAGCAAAGAATATCCTTTTCGATAATTTCCTCCTCTTCTGGCTCTACAATTATATAATATATATATGTTTATGTACATAGAATATTCTAGAATAGTAGTCAATAACACTATTAGTGTTTTTTAAATAATATCGATTTGCAAAGTAAGATCACAATGGAATTACAGTTCATTAAAGATGCTTAAATTATAATAATACTAATAAAAATATAATATCAAATGGAATATCAATTAAAATTAAGGAAATTTCTACAAAATATTGAGGATCATTCGAACCTAGATGGGCAGCGGGGTAAGCACAATGTCTGAACTAGCTTCTTTTGGACACATAAATTAGGCCTCTTAATGTGGATCCCGACGGCCAGTCTCAGCAGTATGTAGTAAACAAACTCTTTAGGCGAAACTGAGATTTGTTGGTATGCTGTAAATGACTTTGAAAGCCTCCTTGTTTACATCAATCGTGTGTTCTGTATCCACAAGATGAAATAGAATAGAGCTCCTGTGCAGCCAGTTACATAAGCTGTGCAATTGGGAGTGTTTCTCGTGGGGTTTGCGAACATCACTCTGCATGGTGGTTAGGTAAAGGAGAAACAAAATCCATTCGTTGCGCTATTCTATCTCATCTTGTGGATACAGACACAAGATTGATGTCAACGAGGCGGCTTTCAAAGTCATTTACCGCATACCAACAAATCTTAACTTCGCCTTAAGAGTTCGTCTGCTACTACATATTGCTGAGGCTGGCCGTTGGGATCCACATTAAGAAGCCTAATTTATGTATCCAAAAGAAGTTGGTTAGTTCAGACATTGTCCTTAACCCCTTGGCCATCTAGGTTCGAATGATCCTCAATTTTTGTGGAATTTTCCTAATTTCAGTTGATATTCTATTTGCTACTATATCTGTATTATTATAATTTAAGCATCTCTAATGAACTGTAATTCCATTGTGATCTTACTTTACAAATCGATATTATTTAAAAAAACACTAATATTGTTATTAACTCTAATTCTAGAATTTTCTGTGTATATAAACATGCATATATATAATTGTAGAGCCAGAAGAGGAGGAAATTATCGAAAAGGATATTCTTTGCTCAATTATTTTGTTGTTTTTTTATAGATGTCTGAATGAATGCATTTTCGCTATATTAATAAAGATTAGATCACAAACTTTAATTTAGTCAGCCTTGTCTTGAATTGTAGCTGCATTCGATCAGGTTGATTGATGTGCACCTCCTTTTTTATTGGTTCAGTTGTTAAACCGAATATCATACCTTTAAACCAATAAAAAAATAATACAGAGGAATTAAATTTAAAACAATTAGTCCCTTTAATAAATTTGGATAGCGTTATTAGAAGACGGAGATTATCTGAAAAACAATGTGATGTGATGTATTTGCGCTATACATTTCGAACAATCTGATCCCTAACACATTTATTTGTCACGTCAATATATATGAAAAAGTTAAATTAAACAAAGTGACAAAAAAAAGAATTAAGAATAATTAACACAAACGTTTGGTAATCCAATCAAATAAGGATTACCATGGTAGGTTCAGAGTAACAATAAACTGTTTTTGAATACACGGAGAGGGGGGGGGGGCTTAAGTTTATGAATAGCTATAGCCTCGGCGTATTTCAATAAGCGCCCTTGATCGTTTTTATAAATGATCTTAAAGCCTGAGTTAACATCAATCTTACGGTTCATCTCGATTACCTGTTTAGCTATAGACGAAATTAGCAATCTGACACCTGCATCTATTGATTTTTCACAATTCATTTGTTTTACTAGCCATTTTGGGATATGCTCTCCCACCTCCCTCACATGCAAAGCACGATTACTCCTCCCTATGTATGTGTGACCACACACACACACACGAAAATTGGTAAATGGTGTGGGATTTGACATAATAATAATAATAGCTTCATTCCAAACAGTATTTGTGGTACAGGTATGGAATTTTCAGCGTGCATTACAATATTGCATCTAATTACCTCATAAATTTTTATAAGATTTTAAAAATAAAAAGCAACAAAAAGAGAAAAAGAGAAATAAAAGAAATAAAAAAGAACAGTATTGCATTCACATATTTAAACAATGCACCACAGGATGTGAAATATAAAATTAGTGTGTAATAGAAGATGTGAACAACAATATAATAGTAACAAAGAAAGGAGAACAAAAGCTAATGGGAACTATTTGTTAGAGTGCCACAGTAAGTTGATCGTGTCATACCTAACAGTTTTCTCATCACATAACAGCTATGCCAGATAAGGTATTGTGGAGCTTTTGTACTTGGTAGTCCTGGCATATAGCCTCCTACAGTTGCTTCTAGTTCTACCAGATAAAATGCAAGGAGAGAGCTGCGTATAGAGAGGATGCTCAGGGTCTGACAATATAGTATTCGCTAGTTTCTTACATGACATTATATGTCTATCCGCAACAGTATTAACCAGTTGGTTTAACGAAATCCCACTTGCCCTACTAACAGCTTTTAGTGCCCTACGCAGCAAAGCAAAGTCTTTCTTAAGTAGTCCAGGAAAGATTAATGGGGAGCAGTAAAGAGGGATGGTTAGAATACAAGAGTTGACAAACTGAGAAAGCAAAGACTGCTTTATACCAGACTGCCTTAACTTCCTAACGTAGAACGTTAAGCGAAACATCTTTCTAGTAACTAGCAAGATGTGAGAGGACCAGGAAGGATCGGAGGACATACTCAGTCCAAGGTACTTGACATTAGATGTAGTTTCAACCTCTATGCCGTCAATGATAGTGGGACCATGTAAGCTAGCTAGTTGTTGTAGGTCACGTTTTCGTCTGAAAGTGAAATTTACAGCCTGACGTTACTTGTGCACAGAGGAATTACTCCAATAATTTAGAAATAACATAATTCACGCTTTAAGAATACACCTTACAGAGTTATACTATCCTTTATTTGAGCATTCTAGGTAACGCCAGAAAGGAAGATGAGTGATATTCATCAGTTCTCGAGGATAATCGCAAAGTGACTTCAGTTTGTGAACAATTGTTAACATCAAGGAGTACTGAACAGGTGTTTTGTTCCAGTTTGGAATTGTCCAGCAAGGTTCCCATGACTCCACACCACCAGGGGTTAAATACAGGATCTTCTGGTTCCAAAGCATTCCTCCACTGATATGGTATCTTATAGTGAAATGGTAGAATTTAGAAGTCATGGACTAGTCCTACTGGATGAACGAACGGTCATGAAGCTCCTGGTTTGATTCCTTGCCTATAAGGTCTTGGGTGTATACTGGTGAAGTGTCGGAAATTAGGAAGAAACAGATGTCCAGCACTCCCTGGTTTCCAGTGGCTCTCTACTTGAAGTCAGCTACTGATGAAACTTGAAGTCCCTATGAAAAATAACACATGGAAATTCATCAATTTTTAAAATGCATTGATTTTTCGGTGTAGGCTTAAAACTCCCTCATAAATATATTTTCTTACTTCAAACCTTCAATATTGCCCACCTAAACATCGACTTCACTCTGGAAGTTGATACTGACTCAATGTTCCATTTCCTCGATGTTTAACTGAGAAGGAATGATGACAACTCCCTAACAAGATCCATCTACAAAAAGCCCATATGGGACGGACAGTTGACAAACTTTCAAAGTTGTGTGTCTCTGTCTGTCTGCTTTCAACATAGAACTTTGCACCGATGTGCAGCAATTCAAGTCGCCACACTCCCTTCTTGTACCACACAAAGCAAGAGAAGAAAGTAGAAGAAATGCAAAATAGAGACATTAATCAGAGATATACGACAAAAGGAATAGTAATAACGAAGAATAATATAGTTTCATTGGGTATTATAGGTCACAAGGAGCGGGTGCATCTGTGATAACCTTTGAGAACGAGGATTTTGAGCCAGCCATATCACCAATTGTCTCCAGCCTTCATTGGTGTTTACTGTCCTGAGGACCCCAACCACTCAGGAAGTCTACACCTTCCTACATAACTGGCTGGCTTAAACTAACTGTTGTGGATTTCATTGACTGACGAAGCCATGTTTTGGTTTGACCACCACTGGCTCTTTTCCAGCCTGACCCTATGTCAGCTAACATTGCCCATTGTTAAGGAAGGCGATGGCTAGGCATACGTAATACATGTCCTAACCATCTCACTCAGTCGATGTAACTTCACAGCCTCGTCGATTGATTTCCCCTCCTTACCTAACACTCGACTGATGCCTAACCCCAATATTGCTCACTCTATTATACCGCTACTTCACACGGGAGACAGAGCGCAGGCACCTATGATCGAAGACAACTAATCTTTTTATGTCCTCCACTCTCAATGGCCAGGTCTCGTAGCCATAAAGGAGGACGGGGCGGACTGATGAGCAGTACACACGCCCTTTGGTCGATAGTCGGATATCACGTCTACGCCAGAGACGGCGTAAACTGGCATATGTGAACCTAGCCCTCTGTATTCGTGCTGACATTTCGTCGGCGATCAACCCGTTGGCACTGACTGATGGTACTTCCCAAGTAAGTGAAGCGGTCAACGTGCTCTACCACTTCACTTCCTAATTCTAGTCTAGGGGTCGGTGTAGTCCAATCCTGCAACATTATCTTACATTTTACAGGGGCTAATCGCATGCCAAACATTCGTAGATTGCAGCTCAAGCTGTTCAGTAGACTCTGCATTTTGTCAGCGTCCTCGCCTAGAAGGACTATATCGTCCGCATATTCTAAGTCGACGAGATTATTCCCTGGTAGCAAGTCAATCCCTGGGTGTCTGAAGTGAGTTAGGGTTAAGTCCATTAGTACGTCTATGATGAAGTTGAATAGAAATGAGGATAATGGGCATCCTTGACGGACGCCACTAGTCGTCACCACTTCAGATGACAACTCGCTGTAAGCCCTCACCAGGCTGCATGAGTTCGAGTAGATTGCCTTGATCAGTGCAATGTATTTTCTCGGCATTCCTTTTACAGCCAAGCATCGCCAGAGTACCTCTCGGTCGACAGAATCGAATTCCGCCTTTAGGTCAAGAAATATGATTCCATTATGGGTAAATTTTTATTTTGATAGAGTCTCACAGTGTTATACAGTAATATTTACTGATGACGTTTCGAGCACATCAGTAAATATTACTGTATAACACTGTGAGACTCTATCAAAATAAAAATTTACCCATAATGGAATTACACTCTACCACAGTGCCCAAGTTTTATTCTTATATCAAATATAATGACTGTTGTACGCCGGTAGGAATGGCTATGTTCTAGAATCTGTCGAAGGGTGAAGATATGATCAATACACGTTGTGTGCCTCTAAACAGAAAGGGAAACCACATATACTCTCCTCCCTCGAGGATCCGGAAGATTTGTACTGAAGAGTCAATCAATGGAGAACTGAAAAATCTCTAAGGAACCTTGACAGAAAATGGATTGCCACCCAGATTCATAGACAAATCAAAGAAAACGCCTGAAAAGGTTCAGGTCGCCGCCAAAAACGATGCTGATGCTTACTCTCAAATTTAAAAGTGATTCCAAAGCAGAAATTCTCCGTAGATAGCTTTCGAAGTCTCTCAGTAAAAGATACTTAGCCTCCAGCCTATGAGTAACACATTCTCCTACAAGTAACTGCTCAACCAGCACGTCAAAGACAAGCTGTCGTATTGGGCCACTTCAACATGCTCGTGTGGAGCCTAGTACACTAGCTGTACCATGCGTCCGCCTGTAAACCGCGCTCGGCAACACTATCCAGCATGGTTAGCAAAGGAAGAACACAAAGGGGTATACAGTTCGATAAAAGAACATCTGGTGAATTCAGCCATTCAACTCCATTTGAAAAGTCCTGCAGAGTCATCCGCAAGATCCGATCAAACCTATCAAAGGGAGCGAAATCAAAGCATCTAGGAATACCTGGCGATCCAAAAACTCAAGCCCACACTATATGTTCAAAAGAAATACGTCCAACCGTTGCCCCAACCATGGGCATCATGAAAAGTCAGTCCCACCAATAATGATTATCCAATTACCTTTCTTATCCAACCTTTCTGCTTATTTTTGTTATTTTTACGTTTTTAGTTCCTATCTGCTTTACCAGATTTGAGTGTTGTTTTTTTGATTTTGTATGTTCGAACTTCCTACCTGTTTTGTTAATACCATGTCCTTAATCCGTAATTATACAAATTGACGAGTTTTCGAATAACTATACCTGACGAGGATATCAAAGCGAGGATCGGGAAAGCAAGGCAAGCTTTCATCTCTCTCAAGTCTGTGTGAAGGTCAACAACACTCAGCATGAGAAATGAGATCCAGATTTTCAACTCCAATGTGAAGTCAGTCAGTGCTACTAGACGGATCAGATACTTGACGCGTCATGAAGAGCACCTCAAACAAACTACAGGCCTTCATCAACAGCTGTCTTCGCTCAATACTACTCAAGATCAGATGGCCAGTCAGAAGACATCAGCAACAGGGATCTCTGGGAACGAAGGAACCAACCCAGCAGGAATCAATTGTGCAACAAATATGCAGGAAGAAATGGAGGTGAATTGGCCATACTCTGAGAAAACAAACCATCAAGTGAGTGACATCACACGCCAGTCCATCGGTCGAGTGGAATCCGAATGGGAAGCGGCGAGTTGGTCGTCAGTGCGTGGGTGACATGGAGGAGGAGGTGATGCGAAGGGGAGATGAAAGCATGTGGGAGTCAGATGAAAACGCTCTCAGGAAACCGAACGCAATGGGGACGCGCGGCTGAAGCCTTATGTTCCACTAGGAATTAAAGGAAACAATAATAATAATATCATTATGTCTTGTCTACCCGATCTTCCTGATTATTACACTTAGTAATTTCATTAAAATTTGACCTTTGACCGAAAATAATCCTGGAACTTTCTCACATATTTAATATATAAATATACGAATGTACAGTCTAGTTGATGATGACATCATCGAAAGGAAAATTTTTCTTCGTTGCAACCGTCTTTTTAGTAAAATACTTAGGGTTTATGGGAGGTTTAGTTGCGTAATCCACATGACAACACGTTTGGATTTGACCATCACCAACTCTTCTCCAGTCTATTCCAATGACGACTGACATCGCTCAGTGAGGAAGGTGATACCTTGAAATGCGTAACAAATGTGTCTTAGTCATCTCAATTGATTCACCTTTCACAGCCTCATTGATTTGCCTGTCCTCTTCACTGAATAATCTACGGCTAACTTCAATACTACTCACCATATTATACTACTTAAAACGCGAGATAGACCGGAAACACCTGTGGTCAAATACAGCCAAATTCTTCAAAGTCTTTTGCTATCAGTGGTTGTCTCAAAGCCGAAAAGTGAGGACACAGAGAACTGTAGCTCGGTAAGTGCGCAATTCCTTTGATCGATAGCCGAATACAGCGACTACACCAGAGGTGATGTAAGTTAACAAACGAAATACGAGCTTTTTTGTATTAGTGCTAAGAATGCATTAGAAATCAGTCTGTTAACACATTAAAACATGCTTGACCGATTCACTCTCTTTCTCCCCTTAAACCTGGAGTCGGTATCTCTATATAGAGAAATTATGTACAGCTCATCTTCAACGCACGCAACACTTGCACAGATGTTCCGTGTTGTGCCTGCTATTTCTCGCCTTCCTTCATATTGTGCGTGTGTTTCTTTGTGTTCCTTTCACGTTTCCCATGTTTCTCCGCAACACTGTATCATTTGCTTTCTCTGACATCAAATCTATGTCCCTGTTATTTGATGTTTTTTATGCTGATGAACGTCTCTTTATATATACTACTGATAAATCTTATCAGTAGCACACGGTACAGATGCATCTCTGGATATAAAAAACTAACACTTAATCTGACATTCTATTGAGTTTACTCACGATAAAATGCGCTAAAGAAGAAAATTCTATTGGTGTTTAGCTGTGAAAAAGCTGTTGGAAGCGTCTGAAAGCAGCTAAAACAGGCTTAAACTAGACTGGCCTTAATCTGAATGGACAAACGAAACAATTGTGCTGAGACAAAACAATTATTACCATATTATTGGACAACTTGAAATCCGATCTTATACAACCAATTGAATGAGTAACTTATAGGCTCAACTTTCCGAGGAACAGAACATATCTCTCTCTAGCTTCTTGACGCATATAAACCCCCTAGTGAAAAGAATACAATTTACATTTGAGTCAGAAAATGAATGAACAAGGAGAATTAGCTATGGTGTTAAATTGTAAAATAAAACGAACAGAAGTAGGTAGACTGCAGACTAGTGTTTATAAAAAGCCAGCGCATTCTGCTAATAGATATTTAGACTTTAATTCATCCCATCCGTTGTCTGTAAAGACTGGCTTAGTTAAGTGTCTAACAAACTGAGCAATAGCACTAAGTAGCACAAGAAAAGACCTAAATGATGAAATAAAACAGATAGAAGAAGCGTTGGTGTTGAATAACTATCCTATAAAATTCATAAGGAATATCAAAAAAAGTCAAAAGCAAAATAAAAATAATGGTGAAACTAATAATGATAACATAAATAAGAGAAAATATAAGGCATCTACACTAATTTTACCATATAAGGAGGGGACATCTGAGACCCTACGTAGGATTCTAAATAAAGCAGGAATAAGAGTGGCATTCAAACTTAAAAACTCACTCAGAGACAAGCTCTATAGGCTAAAGGATCCGGTGGACCCAATTAAACAAAATAATATAATTTACAAAATACCCTGAAATGACTGTGAGGTCAACTACATAGGTCATACTAGTAGGTTGGGGGTAGTCAGATTATCAGAACATAAGAATTTAGCTAAGGGAAGAATGGTTGACTCTGAAAAGATAAGTAATTGAGAGAAAAGCTCAGCAATTGCACTTTACACATTAACAAACAACCACACAATAGGGTGGGATAGGGTTAAAATTCTAAAGAGTAACATAGGTAGGTGGAGAGAGGGAGAGGTTGATTACTGAATCTTTGTTCATCGAGTCTACATATACAACAGAAATGACTCAGTGTAAATACCAGAGATATGGAAGATATTATTACCACCAGTCAGTCAAACCAGAGGAGGATAATAAGTAATGTAAAAAAACATCTCATTTCCCATCTGATTGTATTTGATTGATAACACTAATATTATTTCTGAATGTACTTTATCTTATATTGATTTTATTCAAATGTTTAATCAATTTCACTCATGTATATAAATGAAGCAAGAAAGTTGTGTGAGTAGTGACTTGATATGATTATGAGCAATAGTTTGTGCTCGAAACGTGGTCATCAGTTAATATTACTGTATAACACTACACTGTGTGATTTATCAAAATAAAATCTTATCCATAATGGAGTTTCCGAGGATTTGTAACTATGCACACAAATAATGTGTTCAGTCTAACAAAATGAATTCTTTAGACTGGATACTAGTTACTGGCTAGTGTCCAATCAAAAATAGCCAACACAGTCCTACTGGAGGTGAGACATGAACTTGAATAGATCAGTGTTAACCTCTCTGACTGCAGTACTGGGTGGCGAAGGTCCAAATCTCATACGAGGGACATAATTTCCTTAGAGGTTGCAGATACGCCTTGCTGACTGGTGAGTGCCAACCAGCACGAAACCTAGGTCCAAGGCTTCCTCCTGATAACCTCCAACCATCTGAGATGAATTCTTCTTAATAGCACGGACCAGTTTATTGTCATTTTCGTGGGCTAAGTAATGGAGGGATGACTGAATTGATTAGTAATAGGTATCCTATCGTCAGTCAAGTTACCCTTCAACAGATATCATGTACACACATTTATATTACACAAAAATCAAAATGATATGCTCAAAAAAAGAAAGCTCAATAGCATTTCGGTAAGATTCTGATAACACGAAAACTAAAATCAGTTATAATCCTATCCGATTATGGGTTTTGTAGAGATTTTCAATGATTTAATTTCACTAGTTAGATGTTGTCAGGAACGAACATCAGTTAGAGAGATCACTGGAAACCAGCAAAGAGCACTGGATAGCTGTTTCGCTCTAGTCTCGGACACCTATTCAACAGTGAGCACAAATAACCCCACCAAAGGTAGAACCCGCGACCTTCAGGCTACAAAACGAAGCTCGTTGACCATTCAGCCACTTGGATTGGAATTGACTGACAAGTGAATTTTAAATTTCTCAACTCATGTAATACAGCTTCATCTTCAAACAATACCTTCGACAAGCGTTCATTCTTTACCTTGACTTGGTGAACTCCTCGGGTCGCGACTTCTCACTACAGCTTCAGATACACATCCAGTGTCATCATTGAGCTGAAGATTGATTAAATTAAATTTTTAATTGATAGATTTCGTCATGAAATAACATCATTTAGAGAAATGACTCAAAACTGGGGAGCACTGGATAGGTGTTTCGTCCTCTCATTTCGGCACTCTTCATCACTGCGCACGGGTACGACTCAGAAAGAGATCCAACCCCAGGATCTCCAAGTTTTAAAACGATCCATCTAACCTGATGTTGGTTCATGACTTAAACTACTGGCTGACTGGTTTCAAAATAGAACTTTGCAATGATTGCAGCAGTTCCAGTTGCCGCACTCCCTCCATGTGGCACATGAAGTAAGAGAAGAGGGTAAACAGAGATTCATTAGAGAGTTAATAAACAGAAGTGTGAGTGATGAGGAAAGAACAGTAATAAAGAAGAACAATAGGGTTTTATTGGATGTGATAAATCACAAAGAGTGAATGAATCGGTGCCAGCTACTATCACTGAGAACGATTTTGAGCCAGTCATATCACCAATTGTCTCCAGCTTTCATTGGTTCTCGTTATCCCAAATGACCTCAAACCACGAAGCCTACACCTCCCTACGTGACTGGCTGGCTGGCTTAAACTAACTGTGATGGATTTCATTGACTGATGAAGTCACGTTTTGGTTTGACCACCACTAGCTAACTCTTTTCCAACCTGATCCACCATTATGTCAGCTAACATTGCCCATTGTCGAAGAAGGCGATGGCTAGGCATGCGCAGCAACACACATCCTAACCATCTCACTCAATCGATGTAATTTCACAACGTCGTCAGTTGATTTCCCCTCCTTACCTAGCACTCGACCGATGCCTAACCTTAATATTGCTTCACCTTGCTATATCACCTAACACGAGAGATAAAACTAACGATTGAAATTCAAATGATCCCATGAATACTACTTATTTCTTGGATTCGAGTAAAAGAATCCACCATAGAAAAGGTGATCAAGGCAAGCGTAATTAATACAACTTACCAGTATATGTGACACATAAAAGTTCAGGGTAATCGATGTTTGAAAATCGACAAGCTTTTACAGATGTTAAATGGTGGTTAACATTCTAGGTAATAAAAAGAAAGAAGACAAGGAAATAGACTCAAATATTGACAGTAAATTTAGGATATTGAAAAAATGGAGAAGATTTGTAGCTCAGGTTGTGTTCTCTGAACTGGTTGATGGTTTAATCGCGAAGCTTTCATCGTCCACCTTCTACACAACATCTTCAGCGCAGGTTTTAGGATAAAATGGAATTATTTAAATTCTCCATAAATGATGATATAATTGTATCTTCTGGCAACCACTGTCATGACTGGTTGTTAATTAACCTCTCTATTGGTCATATTTTTATTGACTTGGAATTCGAACTTTCTTGTAACATGTGATCTACTTTTTATGAGTTGATAAATTTGGTCTACAATAATGTGTTTGTTAATTGCTGATTCACTTGAGTACAAGGCTTCTAGGAATTCTCTGGCACTTTTGGTGTTTCTTTTGTTTAAAATTTCGACATTATCTCAATCAAATTGGTGCCCGCAATTATCTACATGCATTGATATGAAAGAGTATATATCATGTCTTTTCACAGCTGATTTGTGTTCTTGGATTCTGATTCGAAGGGGACGCCCACTTTGGCCGATGTAATGTTTGTTGCAGTTCATACAATTTATTTTGTAAATGGTACTAATTTTATGCCCTTTTTCTGTTGGATCTTTTGGTTTGCAGGATATCGAATGTAATGATCATGCTGGCTGGCTGGCTTGTGTGCTATATCTACTTTAAACTGTGTTAATACTCTAGCTATTTCTTCAGAGATATTTTTTATCTATGGTAGGATGAATTTTCTTGTGGTCTTTGATGTTGGCTTCTTGTTAGTATGGTGAGTCGATTTTAAGCACTTTTTGATGAAATCGTGTAGGTGTTCATTCTTTTTGAAGACAGTTAGTAGGTATTTTTCTTCCATTCTTTTCAACGCTGGAGTGCTACAGTGTGTTTGAACTCTTGTAAACAATGTCTGAACACAATTTCTTTTTTGGGTAATTGGGTTATTGCTGCTGTAATTGAATATTTGATCTGCGTGTGTGTGCGCTGATTTTCTATATACTTGTGTTTCTAAATTTCCTGTGTTAGTTCTCCTGATTAAGACATCTAAGAATGAGATTTTGTTATCTAATTCTTCTTCTCTTGTGAATTGAATGTCTTCACTTACCCGGCTAGGAAGCATGGTTCCAACCACAGTCATCGGACAGCACAGATGAAGATATCAAAGCCAGCCATCCGGCCAGAATCGGGAAGGCAAGATACGCCATCATCAACCTGAAACCAGTTTGAAATCTGCTTCACTCAGTCAGCCAGCATAAAGAACAAGATTCGGATTTTCAACACAAATCAGTTAGTTCTTCTAAACGGTTCAGGAACTTGGCGAATGCATCACGAGAAGCATTTCGAACAGATTGCAAACTTTTATCAACAGCTGCCACCTTCGCTGGTTCTATACTGAAGATCAAATGGCCGGTCGGCTGGCCAGAAAGAATTAGCAACAAGAAACTCTGACTGGTGACAAACCAACCAGGAGTCGACTGATCAATAAATATGTAGGAGAAAATAGAGATGTATCGGGCACACGCCATTTAGGAGACCGTCGAGTGTCATCGCACACAATGCAAGCCATCACTCTAGTGGAATCCAAATGGGAAGTGACGAGTGGGTCGTCGGTGAGAGGGTGACATGGAGGAGATCGTGTGGCGAGGAGGAGATGAGGGATTATGGTCAGTCGTGGACCCAGCTGAAGTGGACAGCACCAAGTAGAACAAAGTGGAGATGTGTTGTTGAAGCCCTCCTGATGTTCCCCTCGGAACCTAAGGCAATAATAAAAATAATAAATTGGCCTTATTTATTTCTCGTTTTGGTTTAATCAGCCCATATATCCATCTTTTATTAGTTCTATTGATACTATTACTACTTTCCCCTTTGAACAGTTTTTGGTGCTATCGCACTGATTATCTCACTTACATGCGTTGTTGTAAAATTCATTGTGAGAATCTTCAGTAATTCAGTATCTCACTTGTCATCCTTTATTGATTTACAGTTGAATGTAGTTTATTTGACAATGTTGTTTTTTGTCAAAACTCTCACCATGTCACATAATATTTTATTGGCCTATCAACAATGTTGCCTAAACACCCCTTTCTATGATTTATGCATTCCACGAACCATGTGATAAGTTACATAACCGAAGTTCATAGTTGGGAACCACTGAGAAGTAAACCGGGAGTGTTGGACAGTTATTTTACCAGTGAGTGTTAATTCCTTCACTAACTGTCCATCGTTACTTTTTCTTTTGTCTTAAATTCATACTACTTATTATTAGTGAGTAGTATGAGTATATATTTCGTTACTCCATAACTATAGCTTCTGTTTGCTACTCAAGTTTAACTCATATTGTATTAATACTCTATTGGATGTGTAGTAATTAGTTTTTATAGTTGAACATTATCTGCAGTATATGCCTTATTTGTATACCCTTTACTGTTGAATATTGTTTATTTGTATCCATTTATTCTGTGTCTGATATTGGCGCACTGTTTAAATGTATACGTCAATCATCTTTGACACATCTTTAGTGTTTTTCTTGTTGACTCATAGTGAATGTGCTTTTGACGGCATTCAGTCAAAGACAGACAACAATTTGAAATTTGTATATTATGTTTTATTATTTTATGTTTAATATAGTACGGTATTCTAGACAAATCCTGTGTTTTTCGACTTTACGCATCACTCTATGGCTGATTTAAGTGATCGTTTGAATTATCGCTCCGGAATTCTTAGAAGCAATTGGCAGAGGGACTCTTTAGCAGATTGCAGTCATGATTCTACCGTCAGGGACTGAACCAAAAAGTAAAAATTAATTTATTGTTTACTAGTGACTGATTACAGAAAGGGTGGAAAGTTACAATTACCCAATGAAGGAAAACTTGTCTGTTCTAGGCAGACTACTTAATTAAGATAAAGTAGTCAAATAAAATGATGAAAAAACTCGGAAGATATAGAAACTCACTGTTTCATAGATTAATACAGGATGTTTATTCTGATCATAAGTGTATAATTCAATTCTTCCTCTTGAATAGGATACAATCAATTGATCATGATTGCCATCATCAACATTATTGCAGTTATCACTATTATTATTTAACATATCATAATGCTGAAGGGATAATATTTCATCGGAACCAGATTTCGATGTAATTTCCCATATTTTTGATATCTTTTCACTAAAATAAATATTATATGAGGTATATATATATATACTGTATCGGAATAACTGTTTGTAGAATCCCTTTTAAGCGATATAACTACATTATTCATACTTATTTGAATGTTCCAACTAACTTTGGAGTTCATTAAAGGTTTTTTGTATTTCCCAGTGAATGAATGAAAAACAAACGATATTGCTGCTTTTACTGACGTTTCGCTATATAATGCTGCTGATAATAGCTTTATCAAAGTAGTAATATTAAACCAGAATTTACAAAATCTCTAGCTTATTATACATGACAACTTAATCATCGTTCCTCAGCATGGAGTAATTTCTACGTCACTGTGAATTTGGCCAATTGGTAAAGATAACAAAAATTCACTTTTAACGGTTTGAAAAAATTTGCGCATTAGGCATATGATATTCATTATAATAAAGGTTTTTGTATTTCCCAATGAATGAAAAACAAAACGAAATTGTTTTTACTGACGTTTCGCCATTTAATGCTGCTGCTAATAGCTTTATCAAAGTATTATTAAACCGGAATTTATAAAATCTCAGCATATATATAACAAAGAGTTAAGAGGTGAGAAAATAAACTTCTAGGTCAAGTTAAAGGAACATATTGAAAGTTAAAATAGCAATGAAGATCACTAAATCAAATAACAAAGGTAATAGTACGTCTGTTATGATACCAAAATAAAGTTTACTAACTTGATCATCGTTCGTCAGTCTGGGGACATTTTTCGTTGTCAAGTTGGCCAATTGGTAAAGATAACAAAACCAAGTGTAGATTGTTGATTTAATCAGTGTTTAAAATTATAAAGGCAGTGTGTATTTACATAGTGAACTTGCATATCACATTCGTGTTGATTTTATCATTTCATGGGGCGGGAAGGGGTGTTGTAACCAGGTTAAATTCTGTTTTAGTCCATCATTCGTATTCAGAAAATTCGGATTCCATTTGATATGAAGTGCTTCTGATGATATTAGACGCTCTTTGTGATTTCTGAAATGCTTTTCTGGACCATTTCAATATTGTCAAAATCAGTCTTGTGGCCTGATTCTATAGCATGGCTGATGATTTTTCAAGTTTTTGTAGTTCAACGAGATTTCTCGGTGGTCGAAGAGATGCTCTTCGGTGTTCATTTCTTCTGATTTTGATTTCTCGAGATGTTTGTCCAATGTACGTCACATCACATTCCAAGCCTTTTATTTTATAGACACAATTAGATAGAGAATCTTTCGGGATTTTGTCTTTTATATGGGCAAGGTTGCTTTTTAGTGTGTCTGATGTTTTGAAGAAAACTCTAATGTCGAGCTGATTGAGTACTCTTCTGATATTGTCTGACGTCTCTGCTCTATATGGAATGACGACTGTTGATGTCCATGTTTTCGGGATGCGTTTTCGGCCATACTTAATGTCTGTGTTGATTTTGTTGATGAAGTTCCTTGGGTAGTTGTTTTGCTTGAGAGTTTCAGTAATGTTTGATATTTCTTCTTTTTCTTTCTCGTCGTTTATTAGAGAGTGTGCTCGTCTAAGAAGACTTGAAACAACTGAAATCTTTGCGCTGATGGGGTGTGATGACTTAAAGTCTAAATGTTTATTTGAGTGGGTTTTCTTCCTGAATATAGCTATACTAAAATGTCCGTTTTCCTTTCTCTTAACTAGGCAGTCTAGAAATGGTAGAAGTCAAAATCGACTGAGAACACAAATATTTATTTCACGAACAGTTCACAACTAAGACAGTAGACAAACAGACTAAGGTATCCAAGTTTGATCACCGACAGGTATCAGTTACAGATCCATTAAAAACCACGGAGTAATAGACAGCCAGTTGCTTCGTCCTAGTTTGGAAATCTTCGTCAGTACGCATCCACCGGGGTTAAAATCCAGGAATCTACAAGGGGAGTTCAGTCACTGGAGTCCACCCCAGTGGTCAGTCTATGAATTACAACTTCTGCCTATTCGTGATATATACACAGAGCAATCACCAGACAGCGTCATCAGTGAGTAACTGTTCTCTTACCCAAAATGGTGGACCCCACTGGCTACGATTGCTCATTACGACTCCAGATAACTTTCCGCACACAGCCAGTGCATAGTGAGCATCAGATTAATTTTCAAATGTTCGGTTGCAGAGATTCGATTAACTACAAGTTTAAACACGAGCTGAAGTCAGTTAGAGAACCACAGGAAAATCAGGGAGTACTGGACAGCTGTTTCGTCCTAGTTTGAGACTGTTCATCAGTACTCGCCTCCCCCCGCCCCGACCTTCCGATTACCACTGGGACAGAGTCCAATGGCTATCCAGTACTCTCTACTGTCCCAGTAGTTCTCTCTCGTGAAATTCAACTTCAACTGTTCAATTTAATAATTAGCGTAAACTTTCAATAGAAGATAAAATATTGACAATCATACCTAGTTACTTGGATAAGACCAAATTGCCCCTCTGATGTTCCATACATGAGATAATCTGATGAATATGCCTTATCGGCTACATTTAAACAGACCGGCGGGCTTGATACTTCCAGTTCACAAAATACAACACCATCCTACAAAGAAAAGTAAAATTCATTAAAACAAAAGAATCAAAGTATTGCATTTCGTCTCATTCCAGACTCATCATCCAGAATTACATACTTACCAATGAGTGATGATAACTTCAAGTTCGTAACCACATTGATATCTAGGCATCCATTCAAGTAGAGTATATAGTAATGTGAATATAATATATTGATTCGATCCAAAAATATCAACCAGTAATTATTACTATACCCCTAATTTTGATGTAACAATCAACTCGGATCCGCCACGCCTTCAAATAAGCATCGCATCTGATATATTGATAATTATTATCGAAGAAGCTATGGCAAAAACTGAAATGTTCTACCATAGGGAAGACAAATCACATTACAGTCAGAGTATGCTGGGAAACCTTCAGTCTAAATAGCTGTTCAAGTGAAATGTTGGTTCTCATGAGACCCAGTTTATCCAAATATGGTACGTGAATACTTCAAACTTAGATTTGTCTAGGTTAGGCTGATTTGAAGATTAATGTCTCTCGGCAACCCCTTTATACTCTACGTGTACCAGATCTGGAGTGATAGACTTCTCGTCACTACTCCAGAAATTCAAGACATTATTCCTACTAGAAGTGGAGAGTTTCAAGGTACTGATTTGCAGGGATTTGATTGGTTACAGGTGTGATGACGACATGACATGCAGATGTCAAACGTTATCAGAAGAGTACTCAATAAGCTCAACATCAGGGTTTTCTTCAAAACATCAGACACACTAAAAAGCAACCTTGTCCATGTAAAAGACTAAATCCCGAAAGATTCTCTATCTAATTGTGTCTGTATTACAAAATGCTTGCTTGCAATGTGATGTGATATACATCGGACAAACCTCATAAGAAATCAAAATCAGGAGAAATGAACATCGTAGAGCCGACTCTGTTTGACCACTGAGAAATCCATCTGAACTAGAAAAGCTTGAAAATTCATCAGCCTAAGATCTGCCTACACACTATAGTAGACTCAGGTCACAAAATTGATTTTGAAAATATTGAAATAATCTAGAAGAATTTCAGATATCGCAAAGAACGTCTAATATCATCAGAAGCACTTCATATGAAATGGAATCCAAATTGTCTGAATAGTAATAATGGACTAAAACAGAATTAGACCTGATCACAACATCATCCTCACTACCTGCCATGAAGTGACAAAATCAACACGAAATTGATAAGCAGTTTCATTATGTAAACACACGCTGCTTTTATAATTTTATACGCTTATCAAATCCAACAATATGCACCTCGTTTTCTTATCATTACCAATTGGTCAACTTCAAAACATAAAAACTACCTCATGCCGATGAACGACGATTAAATTGTTATATATAGGCTGAGATTTTGTAAATTCGGGTTTATTAATACTTTGATAAGGCTATTAGTGATAAATAGTGAAACGTCAGTGAAAGCAGCAATATCGTTTTTTTACATTCATTCACTGGGAAATACAAAAGAACATCTACCATAATGAATACGTTAATCTGCACTTGCCATTCTTTCTTTTGTGTTTAACATTATACTACTTCCAATTTGTAAGTAGTATAAGTCATAATCGTCACTTCATAACTATGACTTTCTTCGGAATTGAAGTTTAACTCACTCAATATATGAATATTCTATTTGATACGTATTCATTATTTCCTTATTGTTAACAATAGTTTGCTGTATATAATTTATTTATATTCCTGTTCCTGTTGTACTTTGTTTATTCTAACAGCCTTATTGTTTTTGTGGATACTAGTGCTCAGGTTAATCTGACCATCTATCGCCATTGACGCGGATTTGCTGTTTTGCCCTATTGGCGCACAGTGACTGTGTACTGGACGGCGTTCAAGCATAGGCTGCTCACAATTTGGGGGGTTGCAATATTAAATTTCAATAATTTTATGTTTGATATATTACCGTATTCTGGATAAATCTTGTGTGTTTTCGATTCTACGCATCACTCTACATGCGGTTTAAGTAATTGTTTGAATTATCGCTGAGGATTTCTCAGATGAAATCTACGGCATATATGGAGTATTTTCTTGTCCAATCAAGTTATTGTCCTCACCGACACAGGCCAATCTTGTCCTCTTTTTTTCGTGAGCTCGGTACAGCTGGGGTATTTGAAGAGGGAGCCATTGTATCCGGTACTCAGTGGAGCCATCAAAAGAAAAAAATCAGTGGTCCAATGGCAGAACACTCAGCAGCCACGTGAGACAGTCCGAATTCGACTCCCGACCAACACACTCCTGAACCTCGCCTAGTTTACTGACCGATAGAGTAAGTAAGCCCGGACAAAAGAGAGAAAATCGGACGTGAGGCTATCAACCCTACCGTTACAGAAGCCTCAGAGAGGGAGCTTGCGACCCTGTGTTCTACTCATAATGCAAAAGAATGACAAAAAAACAAACAAATCAATAAATTTGCAAGTATTGGTTTTTGTAGGGATTTTGTTTGACTGGTTGACGGAAATCATCATGAACTGACATCAGCTAGAGAACCAGAGGAAAACCTGAAGAGTCCCAAACCAGGACGAAACAGCTGTCCAGTACTCTTAGCTTGTTTTCCAATGGTTCTCTAACTTATGTCAGCTCATGATAGAAATCCTCCAACCAATCAAACTAAATCCCTACAAAAACCAATTCTTGAAAATTCATCTGATGCTCACTAGCGACTGGCCCTGTTGAGTTAGGAAGTTAACCTGGGGTTCTAGTGGGAAGCCGTGATCAGTAGGATCCAACAGGTTAAAGGTGAGGCAGTAACTCATCGAAAAAGACATTGCGCGAAGCGGTCGCGCTATGTCATGAATTGGCAGAAGTTGGAATTCATGGGTCGCAGTGGCTTAATAGTCTACGACCTAGCTCGTCTTGTAACCAGATGGTCCTAGGTTGGAACCCTGGCGGTGAGTGCTTACAGATGAAGACTCATAAACTAGACTAGATAAACTAGAAACAGATGTCCAGTATTCCCCCAATGGTTTCCCAACGGTTCTCTAACTGATATCAGCTCATGATGGAGTCCTCCAACAAATCAATAAATATATATACAACATCATCATTAAAATAAACTTACTTTTAACACTCGTATTAATTTATCCTTACAAGCCAGTACAACCAGTGATAACGATTGGGTGGTATTTCCTCCCACACCATTTATCACATATATACTTGTTATCATATCTGGTAGTAATAGAAACTCCATTTCCTTCCAATTCATTATTCTTTGATACATACATCCAACAGTAAAATAAATATTTTTATCTTGTATAAACCTGCACAATTTAGTTAAACAAATACATACATTGAATTCACATGACCTTGAATATTTGTGGGAAATTCAAACAGCGGCTTTCCTTTCGATGTAAATCCAGATATTTTATAATTATAACAAATAAATATATGCTGTTTAGCATGTTTGTGTTTATTGGCTCCTACACGCAGGCATGTGATTGGTTGTTCCACAGTGAATTTGAAATGCTGCGTATTTCATGTTCAATATTCAAATTTATTTTATTTTTTCGCTTACCTTTAATCCATTGGAATATTGAAACACGTGTACAGTGCCAGTATTATCCGCTACAATTAATTTGCAGTTTTCTTGTCTCTGTTGTTGTGGTTGACTTTTATTATTTAATTTTGATGAGAATAAAAGTTGAGCTGATTCTTTGCTTGTAGTCTTTATCTAACGAATTATAAAAAATTAATTTATTTCAATACACTTACATCTGTATAGTATTGCTGATTGAGAATTAAATTCATTGAAATCAATCAATGTAATCACAATATTGCTGTTTGATTGTTTGTTTTATTAAATTGAATCTGTTTGTGTCAACTTTTGAAATTGCGCGCGCGTACATACACTAAAATATCAAACAAAAATGTATGCGATAGACTAAGTAACAAAATCTGTCTTCTTACTCATGTCAAGACATCATCCTTTACAAAATTGGTACATTGTGGACACCAAGAGACGCGCTGCACAAAACCTCATAATGTGTGAGGTGACTGGGATACTGTCTAGACCGAAGGAGGTGGTGGTTGGCTTAAGGCGCCACAGTCACTGCCCTCCACCCTCCGAGCCTTTGGCTTGAAATATGATCTACAGGGTAGTGGATCAGTGTCAAAAGCTACGTTCCAATGGGTCCTGGTAACCAAAACAGGTTCATACACCATTCAGTCCGTTTGGATTCTTTGACCCATCTAGATACCATAAATTTGTCATCAGGGTTTTCTTTAAGCAGACCTGCGCGGTTGTAGGCGCGGATATTCGCTTTTGTCATAGGTATAAAACTTGGGCACTGTTGTAGAGCATAACTCCATTATGGATAAGATTTTATTTTGATAAATCACACAGTGTTATACAGTAATATTAACTCATGACCACGTTTTGAGCACAAATTATGGCCACTCATAATCATATCAAGACACTACTCACACAACTATCTTGCTTCATTTATATACATGAGTGGAATCTGATGATTAGATATTTGAATAAAATCAATATAGGATAATGTACATTCAGAAATAATAATATTAGTGTTATCAATCAAATACAATCAGATGGGAAATAAGATGTTTTTACAGTCAAAATAAGTAACTTGTTCGAATGTTATAGTATGAATTGAATACATTTTAACATTATTTATTATCCTCCTCTGATTCGACTGGTGGTAATAATATCTTCCATATCTCTGGTATTTGCATTGAGTCATTTCTGTTGCATGTATTGGGTGTAGACTCTATGAACCAGGAGCTCTCTCTCCACCTACTTATATTACTTTTTAGAATTTTAACCCTCTCCCATCCACCCTATTGTGTGGTTGTATGTTAATGAATGCAGTGCAATCGCTTTGCTTTTTTCTAAATTACTTATATTCAAAGTAATCTACAGAGTCAAGAATAACCTACCAAAGGCAATACGGCTTCATCTTCTTTGTATCGCTGAAGCTCTGGCCATTCACATAGAAAAACCGGAGCTGTGCATACAAAAGAGAATTACTCAACCACTTCTGCTGTCATGGTAACAACTTTGTTGACTTTTGATGACTTAATTTTGTTTGTTTGCCTGTTCTTTAATTGCTTATAACTTTAATTGCTGTATTCATTTAGAACTCTTACGTAATTTCGTATTCTCTACTTTGTTCCTATGTGCATCTTGAGTAAAACTCAATCATCAAACTATTCATATTACTACATAACTTCTTTTTAACAACTGTTTGTGACAACTCATCACCTTTGTTACTACCCTAATTTCATTAACACCTAATTTTCTTGACTGATTTTGTATTACGTAACTCCAATTACCAATTTTCACCTGTGTAGTTATAATAACCATAACCAATTGCAATTTTTTTGTTTGACAAACTTAATGTACACATGCATAAGCAATAACAAATATATAATTGCGAATGCACAGCTAAGAAAATGAATTCGCCGAAAAGAGACTCTTCGCTGAACTACGTGTTTTGTTTTCATTAATGCCTGGATGGGGATTATCCATGAATTAAGACTCCATTTAGCCTTGTTAATAACTTTAACGTACAAATTGCGTAAAGCTGAGTGACCTAACTCAGGAAGATGTTCCTAAATTCACCTTTCATCAACCAAACTGGATAGTGTTAATCTACTCGTTTCCAAAAAACACGCTTGCAACTTCCAATGTAATCAGCTCCATAGGAGCATATAAAAGAATAGATGCACATAGAGGTGAACACAAACGGTAGTTTATCCTTGACGCATTAATGAATCATATTTCGGTTAGAGAATACCAAGTGTAAGTCAGAGGAATAAAGAGAACGTGTAATACAATTGGATAGACAACTGATATTCACTTCAGTGACAATGCACCATTTGAATACCAAACTCATGAACTGCATCTTCTTCGGAACTATGATTTGACCAGTAACAGTTTCTTTCTACATGTTTCTTTCAATAAACTTTCTAGGCTATCCATTACTTAATAATGTTCTTTATTGACTGAAGTTAATGTACTGTCGTGTAAATGCTGGCTTTCGGTAGATCGAACTTTTCAATCTCTCATCCTCTCTTTTATCTAGCCTAACATCTAAGAAGTGAAATGCGGAACTGGTGCCACTTAATGTTTTCTCCTTCCGGTAAATATAAATACGACTGTAGAGTTTGAAAATGAAGACAATGAAAACAAAAATATTTCTTTTCTCAATGAGCCAAACGCTTTTTCCTTATTAATTTGTCATATATTTTAATTGAATTTTAGTTTTTCCCGTCGATTGATTAGACCGAAATGCTCGGTTTCAGGTTGACATGTCGGCTTCTTGTGAAGTTGCTTCGGTCTGATCAATCGACGGGAAAATCTAAAATTAAATTAAATAATTAATATGACCCGTTGCACAAGAGGTGGGTGGCTCTCGTGGCCCAAGTGGTCTAGTGGATAACTCCTTGGTGTTTGAAACTATAGGCACTGGGTTCGAGCCTCGGTGGGAACATCATCACTCACTGAACAATGCAGGTACATCCAGCTAGTTGACGAGTCCCAATAAGGATGAAATGCGCGTCCCCGCTGGATTCCACTGCTAGTCACCATCCACCAATTTGTTATATAACTCGTATAAACAAATCTAATCCTTACAAACCAACTCTTGAAAATTTGTTATATTAAAAGTCAGTCTGAACGAAGAATATTTTTTTTTCAAAACATCCTTCTTCAGTTTCTTACAATTATAAAATATAATATAATATTTATTGTCGTTACAATAATGATAACCAGTTATGCGGCAGGTACATTTTTTAACGTAGAATAACAGATTAGTTATGGGGTGTCAAAATAAATAGTCGTATTTGAGTGTGACAAACGTCGTGCTAGGCTGAAATCGATTACAAAATATTGTGAAATGGGAGACAATGGTAGTGATCAGTCATAATAGATTTGCAGAGTGTGGGGTAGGAAAATTGACAAGTCAGCTCAAGGTTATAAAAGGTGTGAGGTGAATGAGTGGCTAGTACTAAGTGGTTTATGTTAAACAGGAGATAGTAAGACTGCAATGGGAGGTTCATAATGAAATAACCAATGTGTGAAATGAAACAGGTGGAGGCATATATTGAGAAAAGAGATCACATCACTAATAATAAGTCCGGATAGTATAAATGGAAAATTCGATAGTATTGAGACAATGTTTGAACGAAGAGTATAAATTATGACGAATAATAATAGTGATTGTAATAATAAGCAAAGGAAAAAAAACCAAGAGGGTTAAGGGGAAGAAGCACTCTTGGTGAGAAGAAGAATCATCAATCCAAGTTTGGTCACGGTAGGAACAGCGTCTGGACGTGTTCTTTTTGGATACAAAGTTCCGGTTTATTCGATCTTATTGCAACAGCTTCAGCTATGTGTAGGAGACGTAAGCGAAGTGTACGTGATAACGACTTCGGAATTCGGTATACAACCCTGAAAGCTGTGTTGACATCGATGCGATGCCCAGTATAGACCAAGTGTAAGAGGATCGAGCTTTTTATGCACTTAATTGTCAATTTTCCTACCCCTACACTCTACAAATCTATTATGACGACTAATCACCACCATTGTCTCTTATTTCACAATATTTTGTAATTGATTTCAGCCTATGTCTGTCTGTCTGTTTTCGACATAGAACTTTGCACATATGTGCGGCAGTTCAAGTCGCCACACCCACTCCATACGGCACACAAAGCAAGAGAAGAAAGTAGAAGAAATGAATAATAGAGACACTAAACAGAGGTGTGAGACAAAGGATTAGTAATAACGAAGAACAATATAGTTTGATTGGAAATTATAAGTCACAAGGAGCGGATGCATCTGCGCCATTGAGAACGATTTTGAACCATATCACCAATTGTCTCCAGCTTTCATTGGTTCTTACCGTCCCGAGGAACCCAACCGCTCAGGAAGTCTACACCTTCCTACGTGGCTGGCTTAAACTAACTGTTGCAGATTTCATTGACTGGTGCCATGTTTTCGTTTGACCGCCGCCAGCTCTTTTCCAGCCTGACCCTATATCAGCTAACATTGCCCATTGTCGAGGAAGGCGATTTCAGCCTAGCACACTTGTCACACAAATACGACTATTTATTTTGACACCCCATAACTGCTAATCTGTTATTCTACGTTAAAAATGTATCCGCCACATAACTTGCCATCATTGTAACGACAACAAATATTATATTTTATAACTGCAGGAACCTGAAGAGAAGGATGTATTGAAAAGAATATTCTTCGTTCAGATTGACTTTTATTTCATGATATGGAAGGGAATATTTCACACTATTAAATTTGTTATATGTTTGTTTTTCAACTCTTCCAAACTCTATTTAAAATCTTGTCTGAACATGATGTATAGCTTATACAGCTTGCCTAAAAGCACACAGTCAACCAACATTCTCTCGAACACCATAAATTTCATTAATAAACACAACTGAAGTTATGTGTAAAACTATAGTTGTTTGGTTAGAGAAGTTTCTTAATCCAGCTTGTCTGACTGATTGAATTTCAACATAGAACTTTACACAGAAGTCAACCAATTCAAGTTACCATACTCCATGCAGCACAAAAAGGCAGACAAGAGAGACAGAGAGAGAGAAAAGAAAGCATTCAAGAGTTCTATAATAATAATAATAATTTGCTTTATTCCAAAACAGTACTTGTGATACAGAATGGAATTCTCAGCATTTTTTTTACTATAGCATTGCATCCAGTTAGTACATTATCAATAAATAAAATTCTACATAGATTATGGGTAGTCTCAGTTCGTTATGACAACAACATATTGGCATGTCGGTAGCAAAGCCAAAGTTGAACAGTGTTTGAAAGTGTTAGAAAAGTAGATGCTAGCATATTTAC